TTGTACATGATGATTGATACAATTTGGGCTTCGTATACTGCTATCTTTCTGGTAACGGAGATATTCTGCTGAGACCAGATCTTGGTGAACTTATAGAAGGCATTGTTCCCAGCAATGCATCGAGCAGCTATATCACTTTCACTACACAACAATGACCCAAGAATCTTACTCTTCCGCCAATCTTCATTTCCACGTAACATGGTATCATCACGACCAGGGATTGTTTCTCCAACAGGAGCGAGGAAAACATGGGTAAATTCTGTTTTCTCTGTGTTAATGAACAGGTTAAACTCCTTGAAGGCTTCCTTAGCTATTGGTAGGATAGCTTCTAAGGATTCTTTTTCCACGTTCATGAAGTTACAATCATCTGAATACGCTGACTCCAGTGGCATACCTTCTTTTGAAATAGGGGGATTGGGTATGTGTGGGGGAGACTCTGCTAGTCGATGGCGTAGTTCTATAAGAGCTCCTGCTAGGACAAGAGTGAAAAGCTTGCCGGAGAGACTGTCACCTTGAAAGGACCCAAGAAGACTCTCGAATACAGCAGATAGTTCTCCTTCCACTCTGACCTTGAGCATGGTGTTGGTTAAGAGGAGTCTTACTAGCCTGAGGTCGTCGTCTGTGCATCCAGCTTTGACAAGAAGGTCAAGTATAGTCTGGCGTTTGATTGTGTCAAATGCTCGAGACATATCTATGCCCATCTTGTGATACTGGAAGTGTTTACGCGTGACAACCGATATCAACATCCGCTCAGCCCACACTAGATCACCACAACTTCTACCATGTTTGTACCCCGCCTGCGTGCTACCAGTGAAAGCATCAACTTTGTCTTCAATTCTCTTCAGTACAATCATGGATAATATCTTACGAGCACCATTTGATAGACATAGAGGTCGTAGACTAGTGACAGGACCAGCTGGTTTGCGAGGTTTCGGTAAGGGGGTGATGATGGCTTCACCTATAACATCAGGAAATGAATTGGTCTCCAATGCGCTATTGATGATCTCGGCATATTTTGACCAGAATTTTGTACCAGCATTTTTCAACCACTCGTTGTAGACTTTATCTGGACCAGTGGCTTTGTTGTTCTTGAGAGATTGGGCGGCTTTCTTTACTTCATCACATGTGATGGGTATGTCTAGGCAGCGTCCATCCCCTATAAATGCTTGAAGTGGTTCATCCTCACACGTGAACTGCTTTTCGTAGTAGTCTCTGATCACTTGAGCTTTACCAGCATCTGTGGCAACAAAGTTACCTTCTTCATTGTGGACACTGATAGTAGATTTGGGCTTAGTGTCAGCTAGAGTACGCACAGCTTCAAACATCTGCCTTGTGTCATCTGTTGACATGATGGTTCGAGCGATGTCATCGGCACGTGTGTCAGCAAGGTTCTTGAGATGCTTACGGATGTCTTTCTGTAACCTGTTGATCCTTGTACGGACTTGAGTTCTGTCAGAAACTTGGTTGTTACAGTTAAGTGCAGCTTGCAGGGTTTGTCTCTCTTTTACAAGGGCTTCAACAGTTGAGTCACTACTGTAAATGAGCAATTACTAGGCTGAATTTGATACAAGCGTCGGACATCACAGAAAAGTTACGTAATAAGTGAACGATCGCGAGATCATGTACAGATCATATTATATACAGTCGTCAGATCACATACAGTCATTGTTCACATATAAGTGCTGGTCACCCGGTGCCACTCCGTACGCCAAGGCACTATAATACATAGTAATATTAGCTGTAGAGGGGTTAGTCCTACGAGCCAGATCCCAGGGGTGTAGGAAGAGAGGGGGGGGGGGGGGCACAGCAGAGCTAAAATCTTACTGGATATAAAACCGTATCATTGCATCGTTCTTGAAAATGTGTTTGAAAATGATTTCTGGTGACAAATTGCTCAGCTAGGCCTTTTGCACAAGCAAAATCATCAAAAAGTTTCGCCTACGGCGTTATGTTCGCCATTGATACCCATCTGCTAACAAAATTTGGACATGATGCAGCTTTTGGCAGTCCTGCTATAAACTTTCTATTTTTTAATCCGTTTAATCCGTTTACGATCGCGTGATATGACCATATAAGGAAGTTGGTCTAATTTCTCGTTAGGGTTAGGGTTTCAGCATATGCTTTTGTTAAATATTGGGTTGAAGTTAGGGTTGGGATTAGATTAGAAGGCTAGGATTTCGAATGGCCATTCAGGGCCAGCTAGAGAGCCTGTTTAAAAAGTCACGTGACAGTCGAGTATAGAATGATTAATCATCATCCTCCTACACCCCTGCCAGATCCCCAATACAAGTCTCAAATCATCGAGTGAAGGACAACTTGATAGTGGCCCGGCTTTCTTCGCATCAAGTTTCCCATTCGGCATTTTGTTTATTTGTACGGGCGTAAAAAACCGTTCGAGAGTGCGAGAGTGACATCACTATAGATTTAGTTACACAATAATTTGACGATGAACTGCGATCAATGTCTAATATAGTTGACTAACTCTTTGAAAACAGTCGCTATGTTATCTTATTCATAGAACTTGATCTGCTTTTTTGCGAAACAGTTATGCAATGAAGCGGAGTTATAAATTATTTGTTTCAAAAGAAGTTTGCATCATAGTAATTTATCTGGATTACTTTTAAATAGTGTCCGTCATCATGATCGTCACAATCTCATTCATATAATTGATTATTGTGAACAAAGAATTGTCCAGCTATTTTGAAGCTGTTGAGCAATGTGCTACGCCCATCGTCAGAACTACTTTAAATACCCCAGCTTGAACACAAAATTATTATCAGTTCAGGTTTTACTTTCATTTTTAAGTTTCTTGGTTCTGGTCGTTTAACTTGATATTTAGCCAGTATTTTACTTAGCCGTTGTTGTTCCATTCTAAGATTGTTGTCGACTGCGGAAAAAATTATAATACAATAATACCTCGGCTGAGTACTTGAGTGCGGGGCACGAATCTAAGCCAAGGTATTATTTTATTATAATAATACAACAATAAAACAACAAAACAAAATTTTATACCCAACAATCAATACATATTAAGTTCAAATATGTATAGTTAAAATAACCATTTCACAGAAGTGGTTTTATTATAATACATAATAAGTGTATAACAAGTGATAAATTGATAAATTAATTTACACTAAAAATTTTACAAATGAAAGACACAATTTTTGCTCTGCAACACTGGTGATGCATGTTTATAGTTATGAGAAGAGTTTGGTTTAAGTTCCGAACTACAGCGTACATCAAGAGCTAACTTACTAAATTGTTTAATACATATTTAATCCGACGTGGTTCAATGAATTAGACACGGAAATGTTCAAATTGTGTAGGAGCGTAAAACACAATTGCTAATAATGCTTCTTTGTGCCCGTATAACTATAAACTTTATGATGCATTCATATATTACGTTTCTAAATGATTATGCTAATACTACAATATACCTTATTGGACCTTATTTGACTGGACATAAAATGAATGGACATAATTATTTGCGTTTTTAAAATTTTAGCATATATTTTGTAAATTATTTTTCATACAATGAGCAAGAACGGCAGTCGTTAAGCAGTAAAAAATGTCAAAATATCTGTAGATCAGTGTCTATGATTATGAAAGTTGTGTAAAAACAACTCATACGAAATATGACCAGATTTGATGATCATATCACAGGTCATCTTCCTTAAAGTAGGTCATCTTCCTTAAATGGGTTATCGTGCATTAAATATTCCATGTTCCATGCTTAAAGCATCGTATCAGTAATACCTGCTTTTTGAAAACAGTTTTTATTTGACCACCTCGGTCCTACATTTCAGTGTAAACTTTTACAAGACGGACCTTAAACGGACGGACTTTATTTGAACGGACATTAAGATGAACGCTAGGACCTCCAGCGTTTTAGCATGTCTTATCTGTTAAAAACTCCAGCATAATATATTACTATTAGCCCCAAATCGAGTAATTTTGGACGTTTGGGGCAAACATACCAAATATCTTACGATCACCCAGGGGGGAAAATACACGATTTTTGTTCACCAGAATGATTTTCTAACCATTACAGGGTTTTAGAGCACATTGAAGCGGATCATTTTCAACTAAAATTGGAGTCCAAGCTTCGTTTCTGTGGTTTCAGAAACATTTTTACGACAAAAAATAAAAATATTATAACTCCTTTTTTCTAACTTTGAGGTCCAATAGATCTGAATAAAAATGAGTAAACACTTTTTGAGGTCATCAAAAACTGCGCCAGAATTCAGAGACCAATTTCATGTCAAGCATAAAAAACAACACTATGTTCCCTGACTGACGTTTGATCAAAATGAGCCTGAAAGGACAATTTCAGCTTTTTTGACTTTAAAAGGTTATAACACACCAGCCTTTTGAGATACGGTAATGAAATTTAACACCCATGTAGAACAGTACAAACAAATATTTTTTGAAAAATTGTAGCTTGCTATCTCAATAATTAGCTAAATTATAGCGTCTCAACCAAAAAATTATTTTTTCCGAAATTGCACTCTTAACCAGGAAATGCTCGATTACAAAGATGGGTATTCTAAAAATGATTTCTTTTGTGTGGAAACGGTGCGCTAGAAGGTCACTGAACTGCCTATGATGTCATTTGGGTTGGACAGATTTTAATACAATTTTAACAATGTTTTCATCAAAATCCACGCCCGTTTTTCGGAAGTGTTATCTCCAATAACTATAGAGTCACCATTCACTTTCGAGGAAATTGACTTATTATCAGTGTCATGTGTTCCAAATAATTAAGTAGGCTGCATTTATAAGGTCCCACAAACAAAGGTGCAGTTTTTCTTCCAAATTGGAAAGTTGATTTCTTATCTTCATCCACAAAGTTGTACCGATACATTTACCTTATCTGTTATTGTACCTAGAACTTTGTCTTTTTTAACTGGATTTCGATCAAAAAGCATATGCAATTAATCTAATCTAAGATTATTATCAACTATCGAGATAATTTCTAACGTGTATCCCCTCTTAGTCCAAGCAGAAGATAAAAAGTATCATGACGCGATCTATCACGCAGACGATCCTAGGTGAGTAACTGCTTTCAAACAACTTGAAAAGCTTTAGCATTTCGACTTTAGATTCTGGCATATGACCACATGAGCTGTTTACTAACATTTCTCAAGTGCCGCTTCTAAACTATGAAAATGGCTTAAAGTATAATAAATACTCGGCTCCAACGAAACCGTTCCGTTAATTGTACTAAACGGAATCACGTTGTACGAGAGCTACTGACTATAAACTAAGTTGACATTTCACTTTCACTTTCACTTTCAGGGGTTACAATGATCCTAGCGATGGTACAAAACACCGAAGCTAGACACGTCAGGCATCATGGACATAGAAAGGGGAATTCTGTGAGTTGAAATAGTTAATTAAGTTGAATTAGTTGATTTACGGCAGAACAATCAGTACCAGTCTTACGGCTTTAAGACTTTAAGAGGACCGTACAAACACATTAAGCAAAATTAACGGTATTGTGAAACTATCCCGCCGTCTTTACCATTAAATAATAGAGTTGCAATAGCAACAAAAAAGTATCTGTTTTTCAGTTTCATCGCCATCTTCATCACTAAAATCTCCGCTAACCCAGCAGGAGATTAGTCGCGGTGATCACGCAGTTTCAAACCAAGTCACAACAATCAAACTAAACACAGCACAGATTTTTGGACTGCACCTCGAGGGACCCATCGCTATTTCTCAATCTGCGAGGGATGCCTTCAAACAGAAATTAAAAAAGGTGAGAAAATTTGCTTTTTCTTTAAAATACTCAAAATTAAGCTTATCTATACTAATAATCCCAAAATTTGTATCTTTCTGTCTGTTTGCGTGTAATTTCCGAACGGCTTAATCAAGAAAACGCTAAAAGTTATGGGACTGGTTTTTTCGGTATAGTTTAGACAAAACTCTGACGAAGCCAATAAGCAAAGCTTTTCTCTCTCTCACTCTCTCTCTCTCTCTCTCACTCTCTCTCCCCCCTCCTCATTTACAGCTCCTCTAATTACAGCTCTGGTATATAATTAGGTAATTTGGCAGTAGAGCCAGGAGCTGCAAGATTGCCTATTAAGTATTACTATTGGATACGTGTTGGGCGCTCAGAATTAAACTGACTATAAGTATAATGCGGCCGGTTTCGACTGGGCGAGTTCATGCTTTTGCACCGTTTATACTTTTGCAATTCAACTGCGATAGTGAAGTCCTGGCCGAAGGCACGGGTTACACTAGTATCTGATAAGTCGTGTAATGTCGATTACTCGATGTGCATTGTGCCTGGGTTACAGGGACATTCTCATGCCTCCAATACGTATTCATAATACCGGATATTTTGTGTATAAACGAGTCTTGAAGCCTCTATAACTATCTATATCCAGGCTTACGGAGATGTCGGCTGCAAGCTAGCCCTGGAAGAGGACGGGTGTACCAAACACGAGATACTGATAGCGAGACACAAGGGAAATTTCAAGAACAACTATGATTATCACTACAACGGGCTATCCTACAACAGTGTAACAGACTGGGGCACCACCTTGGGAAACGATATTGACAGTACTATTTCTGTACGTTTTGAACAAAATAGTTTATCTTTTTTATTTTTGTTGGTTCAAGAAGATTTAGTCGCGAAGTTTCAGACTCTAACTACTCCTGATTTAAATAATTTTGTAGGTGGGATTTTGTTTAACTGTATAGCTAACTTAATTCTCTCGCAGAAACGATCAACGACAGGTGCTCCCTGTCTCACGACCACATTCCAGTGCTCTCTGTCAGAAGACGAAAAGAATTCCATCAAGGAAAAATGCTGGCTATTCGACTTCTATGTTAGCCTTCTTTATACTTCTAGTTTAAGTCCGATTTTACGTGTCATAGTTTCATCGGAACTGATGCTCCCTTTTTTATAATTTTGATGAAGAATATAAGCCTTAATTCTCTCATCTCCCTATGAATGGCAATGATATCTTTCAAGGCATCATGGGCCATCTATAACCAAATTTCAAATCATTCCTGAATCAGACATTTTTGCAGGTTGAAACGCACACATCTTCGTTGCACAACATGGTGGTCCAGGGACCAGAATTAAAGTGGTCAGATATCAGCAAGTACATGGGGAATGTCGGAAAGAAGCTATTGTCTGTTAAAACTGACCAAGCTGACATTTTCTATCCTAACATCTATGACGAAATTGTCGATTGTGTAAGTGTCGAGTCTTAGTTTGTCGAGTTTTGGTTAATCGATTAAATATTAATGTGTTGTTATGCTTATTAAGTTTGGATTTGGTCACTGTTTGGGTATAACGATTTTTAACCTTCCATATTCTTAATTCTAATTCTAATAATAACTGCTTCGAAAACTCCGTAAATTATATTCTGAGCCTGTAAACTTAGAAGTTTATAATCATAACCCGGTTTTAACAAATCTTTCTTTATTTGCAGCACATCGGGGATATAAGCAGTAGCAATATAAAGATCGTGAATGAGTACTACCGAAAACACGCCGGCTTAATCCAAAAGATGCATGTTAACTTTCATCATGTAAGCAATTTAACCATAACGAATTGGTCAATAATTTGTTCACTTATAAGCAATGAGTAGATAAAGTCATTTTACAAATTAATTATTATCACGTGCAACTTTGGCAGCTGAAATACGCGAAAGATGACGAGGGAAATAAACACGACTGCTTCCAAGTTTTGTTGGATTTCATGAACTCTCTCTCCGAACTACAAGCAGCACTGCCAGCAGACAAAAACTGGGTAGGTTTTTAAGTCGATAGTTACTTTGGGCATTGGGCTACATATGACCCAAAGGTTGCGAGTTCAAATCCCGTCGAGGACCGTTCTTAAAACTTTTTTGGAACAGCCCATCAGTTAACCTACGTCTCCGACGTAAATAAAATATAAGAAACTATGTTTCATCCAATATTGATGTATTTTTTCGCTCCGTCACTCTGTATCGAGCCAATTAAATTGTACTGATTGTAATCATTGTAATCATTGTAATCATTGTAATCATTGTAATCATTGTAATCATTGTAATCATTGTAATCATTGTAATCATTGTAATCATTGTAATCATTGTAATAATTGTAATAATTGTAATAATTGTAATCATTGTAATCATTGTAATCATTGTAATCATTGTAATCATTGTAATCATTGTAATCATTGTAATCATTGTAATCATTGTAATCATTGTAATCATTGTAATCATTGTAATCATTGTAATCATTGTAATCATTGTAATTGTTCCCCGATTCCACACTTGTCTAAAGTTTAACAGAGTTTATAGAAGCTTAAAGTTAATGTCTCAAAATGTTAATAATGTCAATAATGTTGTTGTTCAAGGCATTACCCAGATATTGTTGGTTACTGATTACAATAATGATTACGGAGAATATTTATAGGGACCAGGGTTAACAGGATCGACAAATAACACTGTAAGACTAATTGCAAGTAAAAAGGATGAAATTGCATTTGCATGTGTTTTACAAAATGTATGCCAAAAAACTGGAATGACCATTTTCGCAGCACCAAATTTAATGTAACTTAATGCATTCCACATTTAAGGGGGCAGGGGGGGTCTTTTTGAAATTTCTCTCGAAATTGATTTTATAGTTGTTTTTGATAGAGGAGAGTGATATTTATCTGTTGCTTTTGGTCCTATGGAAAAATATTGTTCCTAGCCAAAGTTATTGCCGGTCAAAGGTCAGCGCTCATGTGTAATTGTATTGCGCGAGCGATTTTCAATCGCGCGCCCTGAAAATCGAGTCTAAAAATCTATCTTCTCCTACATTTTTTGAGCAATCACCTTGAAACTTTCAGGATATGTTCTAACGACCATTTAGAAACTTCTGGTCGATCAGAATTTTGAGATAGGCCTTTTAATTTTTTTTATTCAATTTTGAAAATCCCGGACCTTGAAAAATCGTCAAAAAACGAGGTCCAAGATTTTCAAAATCGAATTGTCCTTAGAACATATCCTAAAAGTTTCAAGGTGATTGCTTAAAAAATGTAGGAGAAGATAGATTTTTAAACTCGATTTTCAGGGCGCGCGATTGAAAATCGCTCGCGCAATACAATTACACATGAGCGCTGACCTTTGACCGGCAATAACTTCGGCTAGGAACAATATTTTTCCATGGGACTAAAAGCAGCAGATAGATATCACTCCCCTCTATCAAAAACAACTATAAAATCAGTTTCGAGAGAAATTTCAAAAAGACCCCCCCTGCCCCCTTAACTTGTTATTGATAATTATAAAACGAAAGCCTTTTTAAGCAGCATGTGGTGCTTTATTTTTTACCTAACAGTGGGGGAGTGTTTGCATGTGGTGCTTTATTTTTTCCTAACAGTGGGGGAGTGTTTGCATGTGGTGCTTTATTTTTTCCTAACAGTGGAGGAGTGTTTGCATGTAGTCAATATTTTTCTTTACTTAATGCACGAAACAAGCTTTACTCATGTTATATATTCTAAGCAAACTGCACTTTTACATTAACGTTAAATGCACTACATACCTATTTTCTATCATGTTATGTGCTGATTTTATTAATATTTTTTGAGGTTATAAATGTTTCTTTAAATAGATCTTTAACCCATCAAAATAAATTTCGTTGATTGCATGTGGTTAATTAAATTTATTTTCAGGAGGACATTTCTAAAATAAGTATATCCAGCACGTTAAGAGATAGTTTCACAACGAGTATGTATGGACCTAGTCAAACAGTCCACTTCTGTCATCGGAGGGTATGTCAGCTTATGAAAAGTTTGTTTTTATCATCTTTCGTTGTAGAATTGGGAGCCGCGATTGAAACTTAAACCTATTTACGATCAATTAATTAATTACAAAAAACACAATACTAACGAACTGAAATCCTAGATCTTGGTAGAATACTCTACATTCATCCACGACAGAGCTGTGATGAAAGACAATATTATGCAAAAAATAAAATCAGAGTGCATTACCACACCCGCACTTTGCAGTAGTCCGAAATATGAGATAAATTTAGAGAACTCGCTCGACTCGGGAGTGCTTTATAACATGGTTTGTTTACTAGATGCTTTTAATACTATATAAATATATTTAACTAATATATATAAATATATTTAAATGATATATGAGTAAATAAATAAACACTAATTCAAGTGAGTTTCTAGATTTAGGGACCTGATATTTTGACCATTATACTTTTAAAGTTGGTTCGGGACTCGGGTTAACTCGTGTACAATGTACAATGCACAATATACAATGTAAAATGTACAATTAACAAGAATTTCGCCGCGGTAACACCACGCACGATCAAATTTCCCTACTGCCTACAGTGTAATTGTTCTACTTTATTGTTATCCCAGAGTGGTGTTTTGCGCACGTGATAATTGTTTATATTATATTAGGCGTGCAGAACTTGAAAAATTCTGCGCGCATCTGAGGTGTCGCCGTCGATCTGTATGTGGTTTGGTTGTAGATCATTTCATATTTTGCGCAATTTTGTTACGTGTTAACGATGCGTATCATCAATCATGTCACGTCATATTATTGCATCGTATGCCAACTTTAATGACTGTTATAAAATAGTCTGTATCATCTTAGTTATTATCTAACATAAACTAATACATTTTGATGCTTACTCGAATACTCGACACATCTACAGCACCATCGATTATCGAGCCTTTGATTTGATATAGGATTCTTTAAAAGCATACCACAATCTTGATCTTAGTTGCTTCTTGAATGTAAATGTAAAGTAACATCTTTTCTCAACTATATGTTTTCGCTTTTTACCATTATAAAGTGTCTGCAATCAACTGTTAAATAATCAGCCACGAGTTTATCAGCTGATATCATAATTTAATTTGTTTTGACTTGCTGAATATTATCACTCGGTAATATATTAAGCTTGTTTAACCAAAATAACACTTATGTTGATGATTGATCCGCTCAGATGACTAATATGCTATATTAATGAATTAGAGTGAATTGTAACCCGATGGAAACCTGTGTAACAGTCGTCAAGCACCAAAATTTTGTTGCTATGGCTGTAATTAATTAACACATAACTGGCGTCGCGCGCGCAAAATAGACTCCTTTTATACACATAATTATAGGGGAGTGGTCTATATTGCGAAGGAGCAGACTTTTGTCATCACCGTAGGACCGTCGGGCCACCTCATATATCCAAACCCGATTACTTATTCCCTACGATCTTTTTGCCTTCGGCAAGAGCAGGGAAAAAAATGTAGAATGTACATGCCTCCACTAACAGCTACCTATTTCAGCGCAAAATCTTCCCTACCATGGCACGTCTCCTGTACAAGACTCTTCTCATGTCGGATCCACAGGGTCGTATTTCCGACATAAACATCGAAAATAATTTGGTTAGTGGACCTATCATGTTTATTGATGATGATTTTTTAAATGCTGATAAATCAAATAATGAATATACATTTTGGTTGGGAAATAAGGTTTTATATAAAATTAATTCTTTTCATTCTTACTGTGAGAATGCTTATAATTATTTAAAATATTGTCCTCTTTTGTAAGATTATATTATAATCATAATTTGATAAATTATTAACAGGTTACTGCAGCTACAAAAAACATAGATCACAGATTTGAAGATATCACCATCGACATCAATGCTGAGAATTATTGGCGTAAAAGAATCAAAGCAGCAAAAAGGAAGAGAACAATGCAACAAGCGTAAAGTACTCTTTTGATCTGCGATTCAAGTAATTTCTGAATTGAGTTTTAGTTTTGTTCGGAAAGTCATATTCGTTGAAAGCCTGAACATTTTATCTAACTTCAGCTAGGTTTAGTATTAGTAATTTATTTGAGTTTCTAGGTTTAAGCTACTACCAGTTAGCGTATGAATACTGAATAGCGGAATTTATTTATGTGTACGGGTATAACTACAGTGGAATTAGGGCCAGATAATGCGAAATCATGATTTATAAGTTTTTCCAGAACGATCCATATTGAGATTTGTTTCCTAGTATTTCACGGTGCAATCCGTATTTTAAAGCAAAAATTTACCCTACTTTTTAGTTGTATTAGTATTTAGTTTTCAAACTTAGCCGGAAATATTTTATTTGCAAAAAATTGCGTGGGACTTATTGTACTTGCGCTGGGTCGCACTGAAAAATATCTTATTTTCTTCTATTTTAGATTTTGATAACTTGTTATTTTGAACAGTTTTTTTGTTTGACTGTTTCAATTGAATTCATTATTACTTGATGTGTTGGTTAAAGTTTACGATTTTAAATTATTTGTAACAATTTTTGCAATTTTCGAAATCATTTATTTTTGATGACAAGGAATGATTTTTGATTAAATTTAGGTTTTGTTTAGTTTTTATTGTAATTGGAAATGATAAGTTCAATTATTGCCATTTACCTTACCGGTCAATTTATTGTCAGCATTATTCCAGAATATGAGTATTTTATTCAGTAAGAACTATTAACAACTGTATTAGCTATTATAACTGTATTAGCGGGTACCAAATCTGTTAATTTCAGAACTAATGAATTTTTTCCATCGCCTTAAAAAGGCAATAGATGGTTAGAAGTGGTAGGAATTGAGGACGGGTATAGTGGGTAGGTATGTTTTTCGTGTCACGTGAGTCATGAATTGTGTCACAAAGGAAAACATGCATTACCCTCCGCATAACCATTTAAATGCATCTTCTCTGCGCGCGGAGCAGTAATGGTGTCATCTCCACGGTTACCCTCCGCACACGTTTGCACGATTCGACGATTGTATTACACTTTCAAATGCGCGGCGCCAAGCTGACTGAAGTTTTCATAACAGTTACGGTCATGGGTCAGCGTACGTATGTAATTACAATAATTTATTCTGTTATTTTAAATGGATTTTAATATAAATAATGTTGATCATTGATGCGCTACAAGTACAACTACAAGTATAACATACTAATTTCACGTTTTGTTGTGAGTTATTGGTGCAACAACCGACTTGGCTCCCGATAATGCTATTAGAAATTAGAAATTAGAAATTAGAAAGATCATTGCAAAATTACATGTGTCAGAACTCAGATCCCAATCAGTTAAATGAAGATTATTAATAATCCGTTATAATTATATTGTTGAACGAGCGTGCTTAATCACTTTACAGTCGATCTTCGAGATTGTTCTAAAATTGGAATTAATATATCAAATAATAGGTTAGGGTTTCGAATAGTCGTTCAGGGCCAGCTAGAGAACGAGTTGAAGAAGTTACGTGACAGTCGAGTGCAAAGTAATTCATTATCATGATCATCCTTTGTTGAACAAATTATGATGCTGATATCATGTTGAACATTATTGTCGAGCGATTAATTTGTTATACGAAATGGACCGTAAATATTATTATGAGTTACATTATGATTACCTAATTTGACCAAAACCCATAATCATGGGTAGAGTGAACCGCTGCCAGTGTCTCTCTTTTCCAAACAAAAGAAAATGATATTAATTTGAGGAACCGTCCGCAAATGCAAATTGATACCGAGAATGAAATCGGTCGCTCGCTTTTCCCATTCAATAAGCTTTATTACAATACGTAAGCCGTGAATGAATGGGAAAAGCGAGCGACCGATTTCATTCTCGGTATCAATTTGCATTTGCGGACGGTTCCTCAAATTAATATCATTTTCTTTTGTTTGGAAAAGAGAGACACTGGCAGCGGTTCACTCTACCCATGATTATGGGTTTTGGTCAAATATCATCTCTTTTTGATTATAATGTCAGGATAATTTACACAGTCGAAACTTAATAAGGAGGTAATTTCAACGATTTCGAAATTTTACCTTTGAAAACGTTTCCTTGTGTTTAGGTAGGCATATCTGTCAATAACAGACTGAATATAGCACTTTTTACTCATTCAAGTTGGCATTAAATTCATATATAATGCCATTTTAATATCGTGGGAAAGCAGAATATATTCGAAATCACGAATGAGCAAAATTCTCACCTTTCGCACGTGCAAACTTTGAGCGGACGTTGCGTGCGCTTAAATTATTGAATCACCATAAATTTTTGCATAGTGTTATTTAATATATAGTTTGATAAGCATGAAAAGTTTCAGAAGATTTCAAAAAGAACTTGGATCACAACGGGACTCCAAAGTTGGTAAAAATCGTGAAAATAACAATTTTTAGTGATTTTAGCTATTTTAAATCAATTTGGGCGTGTCCCCACGTGTGCAACTTTTCGATTTTCAACTTTAAAACTAGCCTATAACACAATTTAGACCTTTAGGAAGCAAAATTGAGCTCCACAACCCAAGGGATGGCCCAACACCAGAGAATACTAATTCACAACTTTTGTGTTTTTATAAAATTATTCTTCAAAAAAGCACAAACTTCAATAGCGAATATCTTTATGAAGGAGCAAGGTAGGAAAACTTTCCGGTAGATTTTCAGAATGCTTGAACAATTATCTAAGATGAAAATGTCCTCAGATTTTGAATAAAATTACTCCTTAATGCTTTAAAATCGATTTGAAAAGTTGTTATTTTGTCAAAAATCAAGTTTTAAAAACACTTAAATTGATGACGTCATCAAGTGATGATGATGACGATAAATTATTTTTCAATATAATGTAAACTAAAGTATAAACAATTATCTTTAAAACCTGTGGTTCGAAATGACTGTATCTTTTATACTTTTGAATCTACGGACACTTAAATGTAGGCTACAATTTACTGCAAAAGCGTCTATACATATATATATATATATATACTAGTGTAACCCGGCCTACGGCCGGGATTTCACTGCCGCAGTTAAAAAGGGTAGGAGTAATTACCCGCTGAGTCAAAACCCGGATTAGGCGAGCAATTCTATTCGGAGTGCCCTCACGTATCCAATAGTATGCTTAAAAGATAGTAATTCCTAATCAATAATCAATAGAAATTAACCCTTAACACCATGCACCACACCAGCCTATCATATTTGTGAACATGCATTACATTGTCGTATGAAAGTATGAACTCTCTCTACAGTCCAAACAGACCGTTTGAGCACTCCCTCCCCTAATAAGTTTATAGTATTATATGACCATGTAATATATACGCCATGTAATATATACGCTAAATAATATTATGCAGAGAGAGAGAGAGAGCTAGCCCCGTAACTCTTGCCGTTCTTCTCAAGCCATTTTATGTAACATATTTTGTGGTACAAAACCATCAATTAAACCACTTACCACCGGCCGATTTTTAAAAAAATTTCCTATGGGCTTCATCAGAGTTTTGTCGACACTATACCGAAAAAATCAGTCCCGTAACTCTTACCGTTTTTTTTGTATAACCGACCGGAAATTACACACGGACAGACAGACAGACAGACACACACACACACACACACATTCTGGTGTTATTAAGGTGATATATATATAGCTTCACGACAATCTGTTGTAAAACAGGGGTTCCAGAAAACCCACTTCCCGATACTCCTGCAACATGAAATTTTTTTTACAGTCGATTTGGACAAGGTCTAGACGCTCTGCAAAGTTTCAGATCTCTAACTCGATTTTAACATGGTTTTTAAGGCACCTGAATATGGCGATTTTGGGTTTTTTACCTAATTTCGTATAACATGCTGGCGCGTATTTTGCGCAAATTTCTTAAAAACCTCCACATAACTATTTTTTATTCCTGTCATCTTTAACATTGAATTAGAATGTTTTGAACTTAAATATACCTGCTGAACTACTTTCGATGAGTCTTAATGCCTGGAAAACAATAAAGGGGATATAATAGTATAGGGGGTACATAGTGTTGTGAATATAAGGGCAACGGTTATGCTTGCCAGCATTGTGATACGGATTTCAACCATTCCTTCACATGGCTTTTGTAAATTGTAATTTCAAATTTTAAAAGGCAATGCCTACGAGTACGGTCGATGGAAATCTAGCGTCCGCTAACCGGCGCAATTCTTGTTATGTTAAAAGTTAACATAAAATAATTCGAATAACAAATTAATATATTATCAAAAGATCGGCTTTTAGATTTTCAGAAAACAAAACAGAGGTTCTTCAATAGTGCTGCTTCCGTTTAGTTCTTCTACTCAGTTCTTACACTCAGTTCTTCCGCTCAGATCTTCCGCACTGTTCTACCAATCAAATCTTCTCTCTATTCCTCCACTCAGTTCTTCCACTCAGTTCTTCCACTCTGTTCTTCCACTCAGTTCTTACACTCAGTTCTTCCGCTCAGATCTTCCGCACTGTTCTTCCACTCAGTTCTTGCACTCAGATCTTCCACTCAGTTCTTCCACTCAGATCTTCCACTCAGTTCTTCCGCTCAGATCTTCCGCACTGTTCTTCCACTCAGTTCTTGCACTCATATCTTCCACTCAGTTCTTCCACTCAGTTCTTCCACTCAGATCTTCCACTCAGTTTTTCCACTCTGTTCTTCCACTCAGTTTTTCCACTCTGTTCTTCCACTCAGTTCTTCCACTCAGATCTACCACTCAGTTCTTCCACTCTGTTCTTCCACTCAGTTCTTCCACTCAGATATACCACTCAGTTCTTCCACTCAGTTCTTCCACTCAGATCTACCACTCTGTTCTTCCACTCTGTTCTTTCACTAAGTTCTTCCACTCAGATCTACCACTCGGTTCTTCCACTCAGTTCTTCCACTCTGTTTTTCCACTCAGTTCTAAAGTTCTTCCACTCGATGTTCTTCCACTAAGTTCTTCCACTCATATCTACCACTCAGTCCTTCCACTAAAATCTTCTACTCAAATCTTCCATTCAGTTCTCTGTTCGACCACTCAGTTCGTCCACTCAGTTATTTCATTCAGTTCTACCACTCAGTTCTTCCACTCAGTTCTTCCACTCAGATCTTCCACTCAGTTCTTCCACTTAGTTCTACCACTTAGTTCTACCACTTAGTTCTTTTATTCAGTTCAACCATTCAGTTTTTCCACTCTGTTCTTCCACTCAGTTCTTCCACTCAGATCTACCACTCAGTTCTTTCACTCAGTTCGTCCACTCAGTTATTTCATTCAGTTCTACCACTCAGTTCTTCCACTCAGATCTTCCACTCAGTTCTTCCACTTAGTTCTACCACTTAGTTCTACCACTTAGTTCTTTTATTCAGTTCAACCATTCAGTTTTTCCACTCTGTTCTTCCACTCAGTTTTTCCACTCTGTTCTTCCACTCAGATCTACCACTCAGTTCTTCCACTCAGATCTTCCACTCAGTTCTTCCACTCAGATCTTCCACTCAGTTTTTCCACTCTGTTCTTCCACTCAGTTTTTCCACTCTGTTCTTCCACTCAGTTCTTCCACTCAGATCTACCACTCAGTTCTTCCACTCTGTTCTTCCACTCTGTTCTTCCACTCAGATCTACCACTCAGTTCTTCCACTTAGTTCTACCACTTAGTTCTACCACTTAGTTCTTTATTCAGTTCAACCATTCAGTTTTTTCACTAAAATCTTCTACTTAAATCTTCCATTCAGTTCTCTATTCGACCACTCAGTTCGTCCACTCAGTTATTTCAATCAGTTCTTTCATTCAGTACTTACATTTAGTTCTTTTATTCAGTTATACCACTCAGTTCTTTCGCTTAGATCTTCCGTACTGTTCTTCCACCCAAATCTTCCGCTCAGATCTACCACTCAGTTCTTCCACTCTGTTCTTCAACTCAGTTCTTTCCTCAAATCTTCTACTCAAATCTTCCATTCAGTTCTACCACTCAGTTCGTCCACTCAGTTCTATCGTTCAGTTCCAACTACCACCACTGAGTTTTTTCATTCAGTTCTACATTTAGTTCACCCATTCAGTTCAACCATTTAGTTCTTCCACTCAGTTCTTTCGCTTAGATCTTCCGCACTGTCCTTCCACTCAAATCTTCCACTCACATCTAACACTCAGTTTTTCCACTAAGTCCTTCTGCACTGTTCTTCCACTCAAATCTTCAAATCTTTGGGGTGCAATGAAATGTAACTCTCTCTCTCTCTCTCTCTCTCTCTCTCTCTCTCTCTCTCTCTCTCTCTCTCTCTCTCTCTCTCTCTCTCTCTCTCTCTCTCTCTCTCTCTCTCTCTCTCTCTCTCTCTCTCTCTCTCTCTCTCTCTCTCTCTCTCTCTCTCTCTCTCTCTCTCTCTCTCTCTCTCTCTCTCTCTCTCTCTCTCTCTCTCTCTCTCTATATATCTCTATCTCTCTCTCTCTCTCTCTCTCTCTCTCTCTCTCTCTATATATCTCTATCTCTCTCTCTCTCTCTCTCTCTCCCTCTCTCTCTCTCTCTCTCTCTCTCTCTCTCTCTCTCTCTCTCTCTCTCTCTCTCTCTCTCTCTCTCTCTCTCTCTCTCTCTCTCTCTCTCTCTCTCTCTCATGAGTACTTGTTGGAGCTAGTTATCCTGTGGTGGTACTCGTATATATAAGGCTCAATGAAGGACAAGCCATATCAATCATGGCTACTCCTTCTGTTGAATACACTACTGGTAAGCGAGGAAAGGACCAACGCTCTCGTGGATGGTCAACGCTACACCTTAAACAAAAAGAGGAACGGAACTGATGGAGTCACCAAAACCTACTGGACTTGTGTTGATCCTGGCTGTCTGGCTCGACTGGTGCTTCATGAACAGACAGTGAAAAACTGGATGAAATAATTTTATTTTATGAATTAAATTATAAAATAAAGCAAGGTCAGTAAAGTAATATTAAATTAAAGAAGGTGGAGTTAAAGAATTAGTAAAGTGTAGTAAAACTAAAGTAGAATTAAAGAAAAGTAAACTAGAAGTAGAGTGGAGTGAAACTGAAAAGTAAAGAAAAGTCGATATAAGATAAACTTGTCACTGTGTAGTCCTGTCACTATAAAATGCGTTTTGCACGCTATATAGTGACAAATATCAACTGTCATTATAAAGTGCTTGTCACTATATAGTCCTGTCACTATATATATGGTGCGATTAAGTAATTATTTCTACTTAACATAATTACAATATTCAATAGTATAATTATTTATAGAATAATCAATATTCAATAGTAAATAGTAATAGTATGGTAAATTGATAGTTCTATCGATTAAATTACATTAGTACAGTATAGTAAGTTACAGATTATTTTAAAACTCTTCTACATAAGTATGCCGCAAGAAATGGCTGCTGCTCTTGCATCTTTAAGATGCCTGGTAGTGTTTATTGCTCTGCTGGCTGCGTCATCGAGGGCTTCCATTCTGATCCTTCCGTTGGCCCCGAGTTCTCTCTTGACGAGCTAAACCTCTGCAAGTTGGACTCCGCCAAATACGAAAAGATTAAAAGAGCTTTATTTTAATGTAATATTTGTTCCGCAAGTGCGCATTTTAGTGCCAAAAGTGCTGCATGTTATATATGATAGTGCTGCAAGTGCCACATGTTAGTGCCGCAAGTTACATAATATGATAGTGCCGCAAGTGCCACATGTTAGTGCTGCAAGTGCCACATGTTAGTGCCGCAAGTGCCGCATGATAGTGCCGCAAGTGCCGCATGATAGTGCCACAAGTGCCACAGTGCTGCATTTACGTAATACTAATAAGGTCGGCTCAATTCAAAAAACCAGTACCATAACTCTTACCGTTTTCTTGATTGAGCTGTTCGGAAATTACACACACGCACGTACACAAACACATACACACATACACACATTTATTGGTAGAGTGGAGTACCGTTACCAGTGTTTTCCTTTCATTCACAGCTTACGAATTGTAATAAGGTTTATTACGTTTATTACATTCTTTAGAAATCTCTTAGGGTTGCTTTCGGGCCGATACCTAGTACTTCGGGATAAGGGCGGTAGTTACAACTAGTAATTGGACACTAATTAGTAATACTATTTAATTGCCAATTCTGTGATCATTCACTGACTACAATTTTTACGCCGAACTCGATATAACCAAACTTTCACAATTTAAATAATTGACAATGGTTATATTTATTGAATTTTAACCGTCTCTAGATATCCTCCGGCTCCAGGTAGTCAGAATAAAATATGGTGATCTGTTTAAAAAGGGACAAACACCTCATCAGTCATCATCAGTTATGTTGACGAAATTTCGCGAAGAAGAAAAAGTCGATATAAAGTTGTCCCTTTTGCGTCACAGCTGCGGAAAATGACGTATATAAGTGAAACGTCACAAAGGTAGTGACTAGTGGTACTGTTATATATATGGCGGCACTGCACAGTGCACAAGTTGAAACATACCATGGATAAGCTCGTGGCCAAATAAACGCTACTCAGTAGACAAATTGAAAAAAAAACGATAGTTAATGTTAGACAACTTTCTAGAACTGCTAATTTGATTTTATACCTCTCAAAACATCATCATATCACCAAATTCCGGGTTCTTGGTTCGAGAAGTATATAAAAGTGTCAAGGTTCCAGTCAGTTCAGGCACAATCATCTCGAGACACAGTGGCCCCACTATAGCGAGCCAAGTTATCTGCATGACTTTTAGTTTTTTGTTTTTATTTCTCACTAGTCAGTAATACTAATAGTGTCTGAACTGTTTTGCGATATACAAAATTCTTCTCATAGGCGTTAACCGTTTCAAATAATATTTTTGTTTCCTTAATGGGCGTAAGCGAAGATTTTGTTATACTAAAAGACGAATGAGTAGAAGTATTAACTAAGTAAATACTGCAGACCGTGCACAATTTGCAGATGCGTTAAATAATCACATCCTAAAAACGGTGAAGTACTAAAATATGATGGTCAACGATTAACAAATTGGAATTTAGGGAGGTTACCTGTCACAGAGCTTTTGAATATATAAATAGAGTCGTTTAATTTCATCTCCTGTGTTTGATCTTTAGTGCCTGGACGTGGATAACCGATAACGGTTGATTTTTTTTGTGACAGAAAAAATAACTTTCTGTCCGCATTTGATATTTTAAAAGTCTAATGCGACAAACTTCTTGAAGTGTTTTGCACTTAACCTTCATTGAAAGTATTTAAACGTTGGGGGTAGAGGGTTTTAATCCCTCGATATTTTCCCTCTGCGGCTCTGCCGTAATTTTTTATAAGATCAAGTTTTGGTCGGAGAAATGGATTAGTGTAATTTTGGGTTTCAGATTAACCCGAGGATTACTTATTATTATCTTCTTTCCTATTTTATAATATTGCCCTTTTCGAAAGGAATTGGCGAATTATAGTGAGACTGAGAGAACTGAGAGATGGCCCAACACATTGGAAGACGTTTGATCGGTAAGAAAAATGACAAATGCAATGCTTCTTATCTTTCAATAATCCGCTCATGTACCCAAATTCTATGACAAACTTTTACTTCAATTTAGGACCAGCTGACCAGCTACGAAGAACCATCCTTAGTATTACCGTATTAACAATCTAATTTTCAGGACTGGCAGTGATTCTGTTAGTAGCACGAGAGAGTTACTGTATAAGACACGTGAGCTATAATCAACAATCCCACATTCTACAACAAACGGTGAGCTGTAATTATCAATTAATTAATTAATCAATGAGTTGCAATAATTTATTGATTAACTGTAGCAGGTTACGGAACCCTAAGAATAGAGGATGTGAGGTAGGTGTAGCCGGTAGCTACCCTTCTCAAGATAATTATAGTTTCGCTTTAGTTGATAGGAATTAGTTCACTTTTAGTTCACTCACAGTCAGTCCTTGTTTTATCCCATATTCACACTTTCATTTTGACTGGGACGCCAACCACATGGCACCATTTACCTCGAGGGTGCTTATCTAATTTCTTGTTCACTGTCAACATTATGCACTTTCAGTCCTCTTCTAGTTCTACCTGCAGTAACCACCTGCAATCTCATGTTAATCTTTACATGGTATCCTTTTTCTTCTCGTTTTACAATTGATGAAATTACCGATTACGAATTACTAATTTAGCTTTATTTTTCTACGCCCTTTATTTCACACTTTTTAATGACAAATATTTTCCAGAGCACAGTGGGAAACAGCGGGACAACGTATGCACTGAACAGCACAGAGCTGTTTGGAATGCACCTTAACGGGAGGTTCACTATCTCGGATGGCATTAGAAACGAGGTCTTAAAACGTTTCAAAAATGTGAGCACAATACCACAAGGCACAAGGCACAAGACACAAATACTCATCGTAATGAAATGATTCCATAGCTATCTTAATATTAATCAACAAACAAATTGTAAATTTGAATTGAATATTTGTATAAAAGATCATTTTTATTAAACCCCTTGTTACCCAGGCGTACAGTGACAGTAAATGTGACCTAGCGACGGATAGTGGACACTGCAACAGCCCCTCTCGACAAGTAGTGGAACTGAGGAAGGGACTTTATAACTATGGAGCCGAGAGACAGGTAAATGAAATCAGAAATGTAACTTAATTTCAGTATGTTGATCTTATCGTATTTTGATAAGTGTTAAAAGCATTTATAGATGACTCATTCGAAAGATTCTGGAAAGAGGAGGAAGATTTGAGTTTACTGATAATATCATTTCAGAAGAGACAAGAGACATCTTTATCCAGTATAACTGGATCCGGCTGTGGCCACAAGTTTGACTGCTACATTAGCGCAGATGCAAAGCGTAAGATCGTGCAGAAGTGCTGGCTATATGATCTATACGTAAGCACTAAGTCAAAAATACAATTTTAAGTTTATAATCAAAAATGTAAATAAATAACTGAATAAAGAACTAAGCAAATAAAGAATAGAAGAACGAATCTTCCTCAATACTTTCACTTTTGATGTACTGTAATTTTAAAATTAAATAATTAGGCATATTTCCAGGCAGACATTCATGATGACCAAAGCTCCTCAAGCAGCCCTCAGGGTCAAACCACTGGCCCCATATCACTCCACAAGATATCAGTGGCTGGAGCTGCACTGAGGTGGGCTGACATCAGTGACTACATGAGTAAGGTTGGGGATAAATTGGTCCCAACGAAGCCGGGTTCCAGTCAGAATTTTGACTATTCCACCATCTACAGTGAGATTGAATGTGTAAGTTATGGAAGCTGCAGTAGAATTGTACCTCGTACTCTCGTATACGAAATGCAGTAGAATTCTATGACAGTTTACTTCCAAGTCACACTTATCAACAATTATAATAATCAATTACGGAAATTCATTTAAAACAATTAATAAATTGTGTATCATTTCTTTAATTAATAATCATATGGAAAAATAGCCCTCTTTAAGCTGAGAGAAGTTACTAATAACTGTAGTACTAACAACGGTTCTTGACAGGAAATGAAAGCGATAAATATTGACACAAGAAGTAATGCACCAAACCAGATATTCGATCAACACGCAGACCTGATCCAGAAGCTGCACAATCATTTCTACCAGGTAGACTTTAAAAATTGATTTTATAAACAAATAATTTAGTAAATCCCATGTTTGTACTTAAATTGGTTCGTTAACAATATTGTATTTTTTAACGAGAGTGGTCTTAAAATTTATTATCAAATGACAAATGAGGAGATTGCACTGTAATGTCTTGAGGTGAACAGCAGTTTTAGCAAACCTCGATTTACCCGGTCCTCCAATTTACCGGGTACTCCGATTTACCGGATTATTTCCTTACCCGATATTTCATGCACTAGCATGAAAGTTCAAAAGCTAACTGTTTGATCACGTTATGCATCATATGGGACATTATGTTATCATGAAGTAATCCCGATACTTGACCTCTGCCTGATCCAGAGGATTTCACCATTTTACCTTCGCACAGACATCGAACGCTGTAAGAAGATGACGATCAGACCTCGTTATTACCCGATATTTATTGATAACACTTCAGTTGAAAAACGCTGTAAAGAAGAAGGATGGAAAGAATTACGACTGCTACAGCGAGCTACTACAGCTGATGAAGCATCTCACAGACCTTGTAGAAAAAGATGAACAAAACTGGGTGAGAACTAAAGCCCATGTTTTATCATTGAATAAAGATATGAAATAAAATGCTGCATCATAACAGATGAATTATCCGTGATATTGTGTCAATCAGTAAATTTAGCCTTTAACTTATCTTTAAATCAGTTAGTTTACCAAGTTATTAACTTATCTTTAAATTAGTTAGTTTACCAAGTTTACTAAATCACAGGAAGACATAATGAAGGTAGAAGTGTTTAAAAAAATGGTGATAAAACTTGATGACACAGCTAACGCCGTACATAAATACTACACCAACGACACCCCAGAAAAAAAAGGGATATATTTCTGTCATCATCAGGTTTTTAAACATTTTACTAACCAAGTGAGAAAAAATGTCATTACCGTTATACAATAATTATTTAGTTGATTAGGTGGTGTTTGACTATGTTATTGTGTTGAATGTTTCTGATGTTTTCTAATTAGACTTGAAATTGAGTAACGGCTTCTGCGTGAGAAATGTCATAATAAAACAGAAATTATTAACTTACTAATGACAGTTAATTTGTTTTCATTGAACTATCTTCAATCTTCATTATACTTAGAGAGGGAGTTTTTATTTTGATATAGCAAAACTTATATTTTCAGATATTAGTCGAATACACTAGCTTTGTTAACGAGAGAAAAGTGGCTATAGATAAGCTTAAAGTTGATTTCGGTGTCACGTCGAACAAAGGAGTCCTTAACAACATGGTAAGAATTGCAGAATCAATACCTCGTAATAAATAGTTATCATATAGTTGCACACATTGGCTTGGGCAAAACAGATTTCCATTAAGCTTAAAATTTCAGACCCAACTTATAGATTATTTATATTTCCTCTTTCTACGTGAGTTAGAGTACCGAGCGTCAAAATACATTTCTTAATTTGTTTCCTTTCAGACGAGTACGACGATGATATTCAAATCGCTGACCAAGTTGCTGTTTAAGACCCTGCTGATGTCCACAAAGGATCGCTATGCTGACATAAACAAGGAAATCGAGAAGGTCAGTGTGACTCTTAAGTTGCTGCATAATAAGTGAATGACTTGAAAACCTGTAACTACGATTAGGAAAATTATCCCACAGTCATCAATTTCCCTTATTTTATTTTACCAAGTTTTTAACAAGAATTATTCCAGGCCGAGAAGTACTCGGAGGAAATCATTTCAAAGCTGAATAGTAGTACTAGTAATTTTGATGCCGTGAAATTCTGGAAAACAAGAATTGACAGAATAGCAAAACAGATCCATAGGGCTAAAAAACAAACAATAAAATAGTGTAGATGATAAGTTAAATTATTTTATCTTTTTTCCTTATTTGATTTCGAAATCAAATTTTTTTCGACAAACTATGTAATGTCTTGAGACTGTGGAATAAGGTTGAAACAGTCATACTAATGTCGCACCCAAATTTCATGTTTTTCATTGGGAGCTATGATTTCAATATTTATTTTGACAAGCATCATGGCAGGGTTTTATTTTAACTTATATTAAGTTTTTGTAGCAGTTATTTATCAATTGCTGTGCTTATTGATACTCAAATGATGCTGCTTTTTGATAATTTCAGTTGGGTTCTACAAAACAATGATATTGATGTCTAGGTTTTTGTTATATTTTATTTTTGAGGCGACAATACAATGATAATGATATTATTAAATATTGGGCGCTTTTTGTTTTAATTATATTGTGCTATTCATGGCAGGTTACTGTCAACATATTGAATTATATTTCATACTATCGTCTTTTAATCTGATAAAAATTTTGTGTATTAAAAATTATGAATTATTTTTAAATTTGTCATTTTGGTTTTTAACTTTTGCTTTGAATGATTTTGTATACAGTCTGAACTCTGAACGTTTATTTTTTGGACGATTGTTGTTATTTAACTCGTATTGTAGAAATCGTATATTTGTCTTTTGTTAACAACTGCGTTTTCATTCCGTAAATTTCGAAAAATAAATCCCGAGAGTTAGTGGTCAAATTTGCTATGCGAACTTAATTCTAAACTAGAACTTTATTCTAAACTAGAACTTTATTCTAAACTAGAACTTTATTCTAAACTAGAAACTTTATTCTAAACTAGAAATTTATTCTAAACTAGAAACTTTATTCTAAACTAGACTTCTGAAAAATTGATCTGAAAATTAGTTAAGAATGACGTGATTGGTATGGAAAATAATAAGTACGCTTCATTACCTGATATATATCTCATTTGAGCAAGACTCCGTAGACATAATGGTAACAAAGGTCAAAGGTTATTTATTCATGAAAGACATTCTGTATGGATAGCTATTTTGTTTGCAGTGCTTAAATATTGCATTGTCAGGGCGACAATCGTTTCTGCAGCTCAAGACTATTGTGTTTATGACGGTCCATTGAAGACAATAAAATAGAAAAATTTTGTTTACGTCATTGAATATACTGAGGAATATAAATACTATTTATTTGAACCTGGATCATACGGTTAAAATGTGGTTCAACAACATGTTCTGTTGAAAAATTAACTTTGATTTTTCAAATGTTGGGCACTGTTTATTTTGAACTTATTAATTTAGATTTAGAGGAAACTTCATTTTTTGTAAAATTTCTGATTTCTAGATAATTCTTCGAGTAAAAGTTGTGAAAAACATAAAAATAAATGTTTCAAATTATAGATAAACATTTTTGTCTTCATGAAGACAAAAATGTTTATTGCAGTTCCGTAATCCGTTCATAATTTTCGGATTTATTTATTTAATGTTCGAAAACTTATTATTTCAGGGCATATTATGGTTTCAACATAACTCTCGTACAAAAATATGCTAGTTGCGGTATTTTGTAATTGTAACTTCCAATTAAAAGTTAAGAAAATTGAACAAAAATACCAGCTATTTTAAATTTATTTTAAATATTCCGATTTGCGATAGTCTGAGCACTTTTAAACGGTAATCGTACTGTAGTGCGACACGTACTCTAGTAATAGTATAGTGTGCAACAAGTACTCTAGTGCGAAGTCCGACAAAAACACCCTCTTTCGCGATAAAGTACGTGTCGCACTACGATCCAGGTAGCGTACTCTAGTGCGACAAAATATCCTGTCTTATTTTCAAGTTCAGGTCAGATCCTCTTTCGCACTAGAGTGCCCTTCTTGTGGACCCGATTCGTCAATTCACGTCATGTATTTTAAAGTGATATCTCTCTCTCTCTCTCTCTCTCTCTCTCTCTCTCTCTCTCTCTCTCTCTCTCTCTCTCTCTCTCTCTCTCTCTCTCTCTCTCTCTCTCTCTCTCTCTCTCTCTCTCTCTCTCTCTCTCTCTCTCTCTCTCTCTCTCTTCTCTCTCTCTCTCTCTCTCTCTCTCTCTCTCTCTCTCTCTCTCTCTCTCTCTCTCTCTCTCTCTCTCTCTCTCTCTCTCTCTCTCTCTCTCTCTCTCTCTCTCTCTCTCTCTCTCTCTCTCTCTCTCTCTCTCTCTCTCTCTCTCTTCTCTCTGTTCTGGTCAACGGTTTCTGGCCTCCTACTTTAAGAGGGAGGTCTTATCGCCGTGCCCCCAGAATATGCAACTCCTGTCAGCTGCACCCCAGATAATAAATATCAATGCAACCTACCCCTGGAGTCTTGAAGCGGTCGCTACCTGGCTCAGAGCAAACCAACTTCCGTTGTAGTACTTTTGTGGGCAGACAAGGGACTTCCGAGCAAGGTCAAAGCCTGGGAGATATGTCTCTATGTGGAGATTGGCCTAGGTTGAGTTCCTAGTGTGGGATTTAGCGAAAGTTCCTGGTGAAGAATCCAAGGCTATAGGAGGTTACCTAGAAGAGTTTTCCCTATCCAGTCGTGTCGACTGTTCCACAAATTTGAAGATATGGTTGAGTTTACTGTTGTTAAGATCCTCCGTAGGGGTTTACCAATTATCCTCATTCTGAGCGTCATGAGCTGGATGCACTTGCCGAGGAGGTGCACATGGGATGTTTCTGCTTCTCCTGAAAAGTGTTCACAATCTTGCGTCTCGAAGTTGATGTTGTTTGCCACGTTCTGAAAGTAAACTAGTGGGCTGTGACCTATCCTGACAGCGGCCATGTTAGCCATTTGATGTGAGTTCCAGAAAAATTAAAGTTACTGTATTTATATTTGTTGAGGAACATCTCAAGTGTGATTTTGGGAGGAAGGGTTCTGGTCCTATGGGGATGTTGTTGGATTGATCGTCCCTTGTGAATTCGTCCGCTAGTTCTTTACCGTATACTCCTGCATGTCCTGGAACATCTAAGTTCTACTCGATGTGAATACCTAGTGAGTTGAGTTGGTATGAGATGTTCAGAACGAAGCTGGAGTTAAAACTGGTGCTGTTAAGCGCTATAAATGCAGCCTGGGAATCTGAGAGGAATTAATGATTGATGGGGATCCTAAGTTATCATTAGTCCAGATACTTGCCATGTGTAACGCAAATAGCGGATTTCCTCAATGCACCTGAAGGAGGATTGTCTGTCCTGTATTCTTACCATGTAACGTCGAGCTAACAAATTGAATCCAAAGTTTGAGTAATGCATTCGTTAAAAGTTGTATGTCCTATTTGCATCCTCGAAGCATTGCATTGTTGTTTATTCCTGGTCCAGTTAGCTTTGCGTCTCAGAACTATAGAGATTAGAGGTCCGCTATGCTTTAGTGAGCTATACTGTCCACCAGGGTACTGTAGATCTAAGGGTTCCCCGTGTAATGGGATAGGCTGTGATAAAGCATCTCTACTGCAGGATGTCCGAGATGAACTGTTTTCGAGCGTTCAGATCTTCCGCTGTAGAAACTGATTAGAACCAGTAAGGGTGTCAGTCAAACTCTGCTGCTACGAGATGATTGTAGAGCGTCCAGTCACACTCCAATGAAGAGTGTGGCAAAGCTAACCCGGTCCTTTAATCCTAGGTTAAATGTGATGGCCTCAAGATGAGCCCTTAGCTGTCTAGCTGAGAAGACCTGAAAAGTGGTTACTGGAGGAAGAAGTGCCAGGAATTCTCGCTATCGAATGAGCGAATTGGAATCCCGAGCTCTGTGGTGGGTGACTTCGATGGGACCTGAAAGCTGAGAGAGAATTTCCTGGTGATTTAATAGCTCTTAGAGCTAGGTATCTGTGTCTAACGTGTCATCATTTGTGCGTGTACTATCTTGTAACCTGATATCTAAAAGAGAAATTTCCTGGTGCTTGGTAGCTGTTAGTGTTGACTTCCTGGTTCCTATGGGAACTTCGAGTTGGCAAGTCCCAACCTTCGTACTCAACAAGAGAGCACACCATCCGTTAGTGCCAACCAGGCCACACCACGTGGAGGTTTGGAGAGGATTTCGTGACCCGATCCACTGAGTCACTCGTAAGCAGCATATGTAATGATCCTAATTCCTATCACACGCATTGTATGAAGATATATCTCTGATTGGGATAACAAGTTCATATGCTTGGGCCATATATAAGGTCACGATGATTCTACGCACTACTGGTTCAAGAAACTTTATCCACGACGGATACCGCTATTGCCTGGATAAGAAGTGCGACGATAAGACCTACTAGCACTGATAAGACCTGCTCCGGACGCCTCAATCTGACGAACGACACTAAGGTGACCAGCTTACGAAGACTCATTCCCACCCTCCTACTCCTGCAGCAAACTCTGTCTACACAGGAAAGCAGAACATGAAATAGAAAGCTTCCGATACTGACCTCCCTACGAAACACCTAATTGCTGACGCTGTTGGGCCCCTCTCCCTTGAAGCCGTGTCAAAACTCAACTGTCAGCAGGAATCCCTCGCTAAGATGGCACGCACGGACGAAGGCCATGCAATGAGGCATCCTGTTGCTCGCGGTACCTTTAGCACCTCGCCTAACTTGTTCACACAGTTGGTGAAGCTGTCCACGGACTCTATCCTGACGGCTGGAAAATTCCCCTTGTAACAAAGTTTTTGTCGCACTACAGTCCAAGGCAGCGTACTGTAGTGCGACAGTGTCGGCCTTGAAAATTCTCTGTCGCACTACAGTACGTGTTGCACTACGAACCAGGTAGTGTATTATAGTGCAACAGTGTCGATCTTGAAGGTTTCGCACTAGGGTATGTTTCGCACTATAGTAAGGGAACCCTTTCATTCGCCTGCGCCCATTAATCAATGATATTTGAGCATTACTTACTACGTACCGGTACGTGACGTATCACGAATTTGATTGTTTAGGGCTCGGGTTAGGGTTAGGGTTAGGGTTGTGGTTAGGGTTATGGATAGCTTTGGGGTTATGGTTAGGGTTAGGGTTGAGATTAGGGTTTGTGTAAAAACCGTTTTGTTCGGCTGCAAAACCATAAAAACCAAAGTCACGTGATAATTTTTGGGCGAGCGAATTAGTAAAAGCCCCAATTGTGAGCTAAAATTGGTTACGTCAAGGGGGTAATTTTTTGGTTAATTTTCATTGTTTTTGTCCCCGTTGCCGGTGAGATTTCGTCAAGTTTAAAATATAATATAGATATATTACTGAATGTCAAGGTTTTTTAATTTTTACATCAGTGAATTTTTTAGTAACTTTTGATTTTCGAAGTTGTGCAACAATTGTTTGCTAAGACTGTCTGGTGCGTGGTATGATTTTCATTGCACCATTTAAATTTCGATTCATTTATCATTCAGTCAAATAGGTTGAATAGAATCGCACTGCACGATCATATAATCGAAAATTTAAAATGTATTTCAAATCATGGACCTGATTACGCGTACTCTACCTGTACAAGAATTGAAAGGTGCCTTATACATATTCATATCATCGCATATGGTCATCAATGGAAAATTTGGGAATATTTTCCGGATATTTCTTTATCAAATGAAGCTGAGCTACCAAAGGGTTCAAGCGTGTGAACCAGATTTTATCAATTATTTTGAATTTCTAAACTTAAAACTATATAATAACTTACAGCATCAACAACTTTGATCTAAATTATGGTTTGGAAATAATAGCTCACTTTGTCATATTACGTCAAAAGCAAAGTGACGACAACAATTACCAAATTAAGGTTGAGAAAAGCTCAAAATTTCGCAAACAAGTCGGATCATTGCCCTCCATACAATACGTAATAATAATTACGCACAAATAATCTCCGAAAGGCGGGTCGAACAATTAATTGAGCAATTTACAGGGATTTAAATAGGCACAGATGCAGGATTGTGCACAAGTTCTGCAAGCTCAGCAGATCAACAATAACTTACAACCAGTGGAAGGAGCCACTGGAATTGTGCTACTGAGATTTTAGCACGTCGTTTTATAGCTTAGTAGAAACTGGGTCCTCGCTGGTCGAAGTTTATTTTAGTTCCTACCCTTGAACCTCAACCTAGACCATAACTTTCACGTCTTTACTTGCTTATTTAAATTGCTGATTTGCTTCATTGTTGCAAAGCAATTTTCCAAAATAGTAGTTTTTATGGTTATTTTTCGGGGGAAATCACTTGCTCCGCGTCCATTATTTTTGTTTAAGCTTCAGGTGGTTTGGCTTCATCGTGATCTGACGACCTGGACTATCTAATTTGAATCAATTTTGTCGACAAAATCAACAAATTGTCACCGTTATCTTAACTTCGTTTCGTATCACTTATTCCAGATCACTTATTAATGATCATTAAGTGATCATTCCATATATCAATTAATCCAGGCATATATGCCTCAACTCATATTTTAATAAGCTATTGCATTATCCAAAAATGGACTTGCTAGCATGTTTACCAGAACGAGTGAAACTATAAGCAATTTAATGTTGAAAGGACATTGCCTCCAACTACAATCGAAATTTATATCTACCCTTACTGACTTATGCCCCGACCCCTTTGTAATTTAAATGGTCTTTGAGTTTGAAACTAACGTTATATACTCGTCATTTAACAGCGAATCATCTCGTCATGCCATATGTAACTTCTAGACTTTTATTTGGTAAGTTAATTATTTGTTTCAATGAAATCAATGATAATGCGAACCATTTTTTATACAATTCAGTTACTGTTAAGATGTCATTCACATATTACATAATCACTTTTTGGACAATTTTTAACCCCTCCCCCCTCCGCAATCAGTTTTACACATAGCTATTGTGTCAAAATTACGCGTAATCATTTGGAAATCCCCTCTACCCTCAGCTGATTAAGTAATATGTGAACGAACCCAAACCATACGAATCCTACTGTTTATCATTCGCATAGAGCTAGGATGATTGAAGTGCAGAAATTGGTTAAAGGTTGATTGGTTGTTTGTCAGAAAAACCTACAAGTACTGCAGGCTGACATGGCCTTCGTATCAATGATTGAAATTCTATTGGCTGGCTATGTAATTATATATTTTGTGTTCGGTAAAGCATCTATAAATTCCTATCTCAGGTTTGTTCAGCACCTTATCTGCATGCATGGAAATCCCAATCGAGATTAATCACCAAGGCTTATCACACTTCATAAAACGTAGTCAGGTACGAAATGATTTTGTTACGCCATTAACAACAATTTCGAAAAATAAAAGCAAAATTCATATGGTCTACCGTCAACCGTTCGTATTTTCTATGACTGCGCAGCCGCAAATATGGGCTGCACAATGCGATGCAGTATCACGAAAGAATAGGTTAACATACTTTATAGGTTAACATACTAGGTTAACATACTTTATAGGCTTGACGCTATACTAGATTGATAAGTATATCATTAATAATTGGAGCATTTTTCAGAACATTTTGGTGGATACCCCGAAACTTTTCGGACTTGATAGCAAAGATAAGCCTGAGGTTCAAAGAAAAATAACTGGACATATGACGGATGTTAGTGTTTTTTCTTGATTACTTGCGTAATTTATTTTATTGTTTTAATTAAGGAACAAACATTTTTTATTTGATTTAAGCTAATCATTTAAGGAAAATACAAATTTCTCGACATTAAATTGTGTATTGTGTAAGCCAGATTTTAGCCATTTTAAACCCCTACCCCTTTGTAAGCCACTAAAAATAACTATAAGTATAGTGTTAAAGCGTCTTGCCAAACTCTCATTTCCTTACCTAGGCTGGCTTACGTAACAAGTGAAAGATCCCATATTCAATTCATCATAACATCTCGATTCTCAGTTGATCGATGAAAGTGAATGCAAACTACAAAGTGGGATGCTTTGTTTGGTTCTTCGTTTCTATGTAAGTTATACCAAATTTATTAGAAAATTATTATTTTTTACCGCTACGTGAGGTTATATTCACAATTTTATTTTTATGTGATCCTTCTTAAAGATCTAAAAATTACATTTTGTTTTGTCAGCGTGTCAGCACTGAAAATTTCTCAGCCCAACCTACCTTACCATGTCAATGCTTCCAATAATTAAAATAAAAAACCCCCATTAAAAAGCTAAAACAAATATCGACCACAAATTTCAAATCTTTTTTGACGATCCTGCACCCAACCCAACTGGCAAACTAAACAAACTTTCACAAATCAAGGTGCAAGACAAGTTTAAACATTTTGTTTGAACAGAGCATCTTCTAAAACTGGGTTGACTTAAATTAAGCGCTCTTTATAGATTAAAGTTTTCATAATTACTAATTAATTATAATTACCAATTAGTTTTCTTCACCAGTTTCAGCAGCTTCCCGCTCTCCAGACTGTCCAGACCAGCGGATCCAAGCTCCAATGGAAAGAGATAGGAGAATATCTGAATAAACTTACAGACCCGGCAAACGATTTCCTACCACTACCAGTACCAGATAATGGGATCAATTTCAGTCACACTTTAAAAGTCACCTACGACAAAATTATAACGGTGAATATAAAACCTACCAACAACAATACAGTTTTTAGTCAGAACAGCTGTATCCTCATGTTTTAAACTAAGTTTAAAATACAAATTACTTATCCATTGAGACTTGTATATTTTCTAACATCCAGTCCACAGAAAGTAATATCAGACAATGATTTTTTGGATCCAAATTCAAGGACCCGGCATGACGAGGAAGTATTTCAAAGCCACATAAGAATGACCGAGAAACTACACTTTTATCTCCAACAAGTAATACTAGTCCTATTATAAATAAATTCCTATTATTTTCGCCAGTACCACTTTTGTCCACAATCACACTTAATTCCGTTCCTTTGCTTAATTTTTTATTAGATTTGATTATTATAGTACACAATTGTAAAATTATTTCTTTTGATACTGACACTTGAAATTCCATAATCTTCAATAAAGATGAGCTCTTATCTCAGCTTCGAGAACTCAAAACAACGAGCGAGGGAGACACTAGGAACTGCTTCGAGGAACTACTCACATTTATGGACCACATGACTAAACTTCAGCCACAGGACTCGCTGGGGTGGGTGAGTTATACTTATTTTACTAATGTACATGATTTAGTTTAGAATGATAAAGCGCAGACTAATTATAATAATTAGACTAATTATGCAAGCTTATAATAGTCATCTGAACCTCTAACAGTGCTTTTCATAAGGTTTAAGAAATGATGAAAATAGTCTTTAAGTTTCCAGTTAATTTTTGCTAATTGATTTATAAGTATTTGGTCAATTACTTTCTGACTAATAGGAATATAAGAAGTCCTTGATTATTTAATTTCAGGAAGATATTGTGCTCGTCACTCCATCTGAAGCTATGATAGAGTCTTTAAACGGAAATGGAGAAGTTCGAAGCTACTACACCAAGGGTACCTTAGCCTCAAGGAAAAACATTAAGATTTGTCATTTTAAGGTAATTATTACGTTAACAAATGTCGTGTGTTCAATTTGATCAAAATCTACTCAAAATCTAATTAATATTACCCAAATATAATGTGCTAGTATGTAATTTGTTTGTAGAAATCAAATTTTACCTCATTTCAGATATTAAAGTACTGGGCCCTACTCTCAAACCAGTACGCTGTTACACTCCGAACTACAAGTGACCACCTCTGCTTATTGGATGAGGTCAGTGCAAGACTTATACGTAGTAATCCAGTAATACTAATAGTAATACTAGGGGTCATTCACATATTATGTAATCAGCCGAGGGGGAAGGGGGTTTGGAAAGATGACGCTAGTGTAATTTTGACACAATAGCTATGTCAATGTGTAAAACTGATTACGGAGGGGGGGGGGGTTAAAAATTGACCAAAAATTGGTTACGTAATATGTGAACGACCCTTTAGTTTAAACACTGTTTCCAGACTTCTGTTGTCAGCTTATATCGCTACTTTTGAAACATATTTAAATGCTTCTCCAAAACTGAAATTGTACCTAAGGATTTGAGAGGATCTTATACCTGGGGGTCCTTTCCGAAAAAACGTTTAAATGGCACTTAAGTGTATGGTCGACTTAAGTAGAATTCGTAAAAGTGTTTCTGAAACTAGTCTACTTATGTATTCTGAACTGTAAGGTACCATGTCAGTATTACTTTTATTATACTAGCAGGAACCCGTATAACCTTAAAATGGTGTCAAGACTTAAGAGACTAAAATAATTATTACTTATTTAATTCGCGTTTTTGACACCACTTGGGGGTCCAAATTTTGGGCTCTAAAACTCCTATTTCTTGGCCAATTTTTGATTTTTTGATTTTTCATGCTGATTTGGAGGCCATTAAAGCATTTGACCCAGTGAAACAATTTTCAGTTGTATATCTTTGAAGGTTTTTGCGGAAAGTCGCGTTAAAGTTGGTGCCGTGGTGTCAGTAAAATGGTACGGATCCATATATATATATTTCGTGGCTGGACTTCTACACAATAAAAGAAAGCGGTTGTGATTAGATCTTCGTAAGTCTTTGCAACATTTATTTACATCAATTCTGAGAAATTATATCATTAAAGCAACTATAACAAATACAAATCATATACAATTGAGAATAAATACAAACTAAAAGCAGTGGGAAAATCTGATGAACGGAAATTTTTAAAAGAAACTGAAAGCCGTTAAAAATATACTCTTATCTTACCTCATATCTAAATACTGATAACTGATTCTCGGAAAATCATTTAAAGTCACAAAAAAAACCTGTAAAATTTATACTAAAGTAAAAATGCTTTACGCACGTCTCTGGAATAATGGTATATATACCATTATTCCAGAGACGTGCGTAAAGCATTTTTACTTTAGTATAAATTTTACAGTCTTTTTAAGTCTCCGGAGCTTAGTTTTAGTTTTTGGATTTGTAGATTTTATTTAGTATATATACTAAATAAAATCTACAAATACAAAAACTAAAACTAAGCTCCGGAGACTTAAAAAGTATATATGGTTACTATCAAGGGTGTTCATACCCCCAAACCGTCCAAGGGTTTTCAATTGGGTTTGGTAGAACCCCTCTCTAGCTTCCATAGCCTTTTCTTTGTCTGATTTACCAATATTAGGCTCAAATACTAAAGCGTCTACTATAATGACAGAAAGGTGCTTACTAAGTGAGGAATTATAGGAGGCTATGGTACTAAAATTTAAACCATGATCAATATCTAAAAATGGTTAACTAATTTACAACTTCTTATACCTTTCTTTATGTGACTCTTATGGTTAGAGAATCGCTTAGGGAGATTTGAGGTAGTATAACCGACATACGACTGTTTACAAGTCTTACACTCCATCAAATAAATGAGGTTGTAACTCTGACAAGATATATACTTAGTTATAGAGAAAACTTGTTTAGAATGGTGATTACTAAAGTTGGAACAGGGGGACAGGAAATTTTGCTTACAAACATAGCATTTACCACAAGCATGGCACCCTGGGTCGACAACCCCGGGAACCGCCCTTAGACTTTCGGAGTCTGGTTCCTGGATCTGACTTGCAGTTGTTTCTCTCTCATTATCACAGTTTAAAGTTCCACTAGCACGATACTTATTGTGTACATGAAGCATACCACCGATAGTTTGATTCTTTCGATGACTCACGAATACACTGTCCGCACGTACCAGCTTCTTCAGGGCCGGATCAAGATTGAGAAGGTGCTTATACTTATGGATAATGCCCCCCCCCCCCCCCCCCCCCCATGTTGGGAAGTGCTGGATTTTGATCCATCACCATGGGTATTAAACAGGTAGTCGACTCATCCTTGTCTTTAAGGGTATACAAGTTTTTCCTATTAGCTATATCACTAAATTTGTTAAAGGCATCTTCTATAATACTGGAATGGTAACCTCGGGCTAGAAGGTAACGTGTATAGACCTCTCTCCGCTCCAAGAAGTTAGTGTCTTCACTGTTGTTCTGTCTCACCCGCCTCGCCACTCTAAAGGGTATGTATTTTACAACATGGTTCCTATAACATGACGTGGGGATAAGGTAGCAGGTATATATATATACATCGTCTCGCTTTATATATAGTAAGATGAGCTTAGCTCTCGAAAAAGATACATAATGTAGTTTTTCAAAAATTTATTAAACCAATTGTTCAGATCGAAAAGACACTACAGCGTGTGGGGCAGTTTCTTTTAATGACATCATGGATGGCAAATGAAGGTACAAATGCAGACCTTAACAAAAGGATTACGAAATTGGTAAGATCATTTAGAATTCAGACAAAGATTTTTAAAAATCTATCTAACACTTATTTTACTTCGGACATTCCAACAGCCACATTGTTACACATTACAAGTGTAACCAGCCAATTACAGGAAGCCGAAAGATTTAATTGTGCATTAGGCCAGTGACGGTTAAGGTAGTGTGTACTGTGTACCATACTTTCTTCGCCCGAGACTTTGCTGCAATGGGATTGGGTAGCTCCTCATTTAACCCTCACACCCGATTTCTCGAGTATTCGGCTGAGTGGACCGGGGGCTGTATATATCACTCGGAATCCTTAACTGAGCGTCAACGGCGCTCACCCCATGCACATGGCTGGTAGCTCAGCTGGGATTCGAACCTGGTACCTCGCGATTAGCAAGCATGAAGATTTACCAACTGAGCCACTCGGCCATAAAATTAATATTAACAGGCCAAATGCTCACGTTAATTTACAGCTATAACTATAAGTTGTCAAGTTTTTATCACCTGATTGTTGCCTTTAAAGTTATACATTTTTACTAATAAGAATCTCAAACTTAGATTAAAAGAGACGCTGAAAAATTGAGTACGAAAATGAAAAAAGATCTCGATCCCAGTGAGTCGTTCATGGCGTGGAAAAACAGGAGGGGAAATAAATACGAGATAACTGAGGGACAATTCAAGAGGACAATAGATTACCAAAGCGGTGATATTTACACAAGTCGCGCTAAATTAAATTAATAGCTAACCAACATCTGCATATCATGTCCTTCACTGAAAATCAAAGTACGTGACTTTTTGGCGATAAATACGTTTGCTGAAAACTCCACGTATATCATTTAATAGCATTAATTTACTTATACGTTAGTACGTTATAACTAATATATTCTTACCTAGCTTGCCAGTTTATTACTCGATACTCTCACTGTACTTATAGTTATAATATAATGCGAGAAGCTCGAAAAGAGCGCTGCGCATTGGGATTAGCGTGCCAGGTACCTAATATAACTAATATTTGGGTTTTTGGTATTTTGTCTTGACCTTAAATTTAATTTGCAGTAGAATTTTAATTTATTGTTCTTTATAACACATAAATTTTAAAATTATAGGTTAATTATTAGTGTTATTAACTATTTGCATATCATTATTTGTTTTAACTCATATCAAATTGTGTAATATTTTATTGTGATTAATGTTATACATTATTTGAATATTATCAGTTGTTTTAACTCATAATTTCAGTTATTTAGAATTTTATCGTGACCTCAAACTTATTTCGTTATAATTATTTCAATTTAGTTTTCTCGTCACCCAAACAATCTTAAAATGAAAAATACTTACCTGGGGACCCCAGGCTATAAATTATGTTCATATTAAACAAATAGAGATTCGGCGGAATGACAGGCTGAGTGCCGCACAGTAAAAAAGATACATGATAATAATTTTTCAAATATCATCTCTTATTTTAATTAGCATGTAACAGTTTCTGAATACATTTCATTTATGACTTAAACAATTGCTAATTTGAAAGTTTCTAAAACATTTTAATTTTCATGGAAAGTGCTTTGGAATAACATTATACATTGTACTTTTAAAATATTGTACATTTTTATTTAGTGTGGTTTAAGTTAGTAAAAGTGTTTCGATCATAATTTTTAAAGATATTATGCAAATATTTTTTCTTTTTGTTATTTTTACTTAATATTTAAAACATTGAATTATAAAGTGAAAGTTTATTTGAAACATTTACTCCTACTTATTACTTATATTACATTCATTTTGAATTTTAACGTTATCCCAAGTTGTGTTCTATTCTATTCATAAATTTATGAGACAATTATAAATGGATACAATTTTAATAAATGTAAGGAACATTGGGGCAAATCTAACACGGAAAACGTATATCTATGTATTAAGGGGGGATGGGGGGGGGGGGGGGGGGGGGGTGGGAGTGAGGGGTGGGGGGAGGGGGCAATGAATATTTTTTTGTAAAACTTGATTTCGAGTTAGCAGTTGAACATGCCCAAAACCCAGGTTTTAAGTGCTTTACTTGTAACTAATGGTATCCTGAACTCGAATTTGAAATTTCATAAAGATTGGACATAAAATGACTGATTTATGAGCCAAAAACCATATCCCCATATTTGGGCATACGCACCAAATTTGATAGATTTCGGCCTATAAATTGGTCAAATATCAATATTTTTGAATGAGACTAGCTCTATATGAAGGGTAAGGCCAAATTACAAATTCTCTGTAAGTTATAGCTTTATATTTGTTTAAATGTGGATACTAAGGCGAAAATACCCAAAAAATGAACAAAATCGCCCGTATCTTCGTTCGCGATATTCGCGGAATTGATTTCATTAAATTTGAAATAACTCAATCAGTTTTCAAAATTTTTGTATGAAATTAAAAAGAATCGACTCTAAACCGCATTTCCACCTTATTGTAGGAAGCCAATTTTTTTTTTAAACAAAAATTGGCGGCCAAATTTCAAAATTTGCCATGCCATGCAAAATTCGAATTTTGGCCGCCAAATGTTTTTGGAGGCCTAAATATAAAATCGGCTTCCTACAATTATAAGCGTGGAAATGCGAATATCACGAACGAAGATACGGGCGATTTTGTTCATTTTTTACATCAACTGTCTTTTTCTTTAAAAAGGCATAAGATGTATAGAAGTGCAGAAGGAATTGAGAATGGGTATAGTAGGTAGCTAAGTTTTTCGTACGGTGTCACAAAGCAAAACATGCATAACCCTCCGCATACGTTATTTTAATGCATATTCTCTGCGCGCAGAGCAGTTATGGTGTAGTCGCCATGGTTACCCTCCGCATACGTTTGCACGATTTGACGATTGATCGAATTACACTTCCGATTGCGCGCGGCGCCAATTGATTTAGATAACACGCGATTTCCCGGATTTTATACATTACATGTGACATGTGTTAAGTAGCTCACGCTTTTCTTTAATTGATCATTGATCATGATGCGGTACAACATACTAACTTCTCGTTTTGTTGTGAGTGCTTGATTTGTTATACGAAATGGACCATAAATGTTATTATGAGTTGCATTAGTATTACCTACTACGGATTTCACGACTTTTAACTGCATATCACCACACAGGCGCAGGCGCTACGGTGTCCGGTCATTTAACTTTTTAAATTTGACTAATTGACAATAGCAACCCCTCCATTTTGTGTTCCGTAGCGCCCCAAGAATGGTGAATAAAGAACCATTATTTAATATTTTGACCAACATGAAACTATCGTTAATTTAAATTTTAAATTTTAAAAGGCATGACAATCACTACGGTTGATGGAAATCTAGCGTCCGCTAACCGGCGCAATTCTTGTTGGGGTATTTTCGCCTTAGTATCCACATTTAAACAAATATAATAAACATAAATAAGTAAGTCAGACATATCGGTCGGATGCAAGTCGGCCACATACCAAGCTGTGATTTGGTACAGCTTCGACTGGTGATACACACTCTCTGGCTCGTAGGACTAACCCCCCTACAGCTAGTATAGAGCCTCGGCAGAATGTGGCTTAGGGTTACTGAAACGGAGATAAGCACCTCAGGCCATCTCAACTTGCGGGAGATACCTGCCCTTGTAGTTGCATCTTGTTGTGTTAACTCATTGATCAATTGTATCTACATATTACCCTACGGCAAATTATAGAGATACAACAAATTAAGTTTAACACAGTCACTGCATTACAAAAACTGTGTTATATCAATATGTATAATAGTGTGCACGGTTGCAGGTTTATTATAATTTACCAAGATGCTAGTATCAAAATTGAACTGTCGTTGTATACCTTACGAGACATATTTAAATGGTACGAAAGTCGCTGGTTTTTCGAAAAACACCATACACCATATGTTCGGACTATCAAAATTTAAGTCACCATCATTATTTTCCCCAAATTTTTTTTATACGTATTTTCCTTAATTAAGACTTTATCAATTTACTATCAACTTATCAATATAGTAAGTTATAAATATGATTCATCAAACAATTAATGAACACTAGTATTCTATCATGAATTGCTTTACAAATTATTTTGTACACGTTCCGGTTCTTTTGCGATAGTCAAAACGCGACAACTAGCGCTGGCCAGCGCTAGTTGTCGCTATCCAGCGCTAGTTCAAGTTGTCGCTATCCAGCGCTAGTTGTCGCTATCCAGCTCTAGTTGTCGCTATCCAGCGCTAGTTATCGAACTGTTTTCTGCGATGGCCAGTTGCGCTGGCCATCGCAAACTATCGCGTGCGACAGTGTCGCATAGCCAGCGACAACTAGCGCTGGATAGCGACAACTAGCGCTGGATGGCGACAACTAGCGCTGGATGGCGACAACTAGCGCTGGATAGCGACAATTATCGAACATATATATTTTGCGCTGGCCAGCGTTATCCAGCGCTGGATAGCGACAACTAGCGCTGGATGGCGACAACTAGCGCTGGATAGCGCTAGTTGTCGCCATCCAGCGCTAGTTGTCGCGTTTGACTATCGCAAAAGAACCCACGTCACGTTCCATTAAAAATAAGCAAGCTCTGTCACTACTTTATTGCAATTGGCCACGGCGGTGAAATTTCGGGAGTAGTGAAAGATAACAAACACCATGTCGGTCACCTATGCCCTCTGGAGGATTATAAGTTAAGTTGAGGCTAACTTTCTGGAGAACTTGTTTACATTTATAAGATGGAACAGCTGATCAGAGAAGATTTTTACATTTAATTTTCTCAAATATTGGGTCTCATTTTTGTAAAATAAGGAGATGAAAAAATTCCCAAATAGTAATACCATGATTTGAACCGGGCCTTCTACTTGGGAGGCGGTCGTGTTACCACTACACCACCCGAATGGATTAAATTAGGGTTTGATGAATAAATGTGCCCGATTAGTCAACTGTTATAAGACTAGATTTTTGTCGATTGAACGGATGACTTTGACTGAAATTCGAACTTGTAACCTCCGGCTTAAAATTTGGTAGATTGACATATTAATTACCGTGTCGCGTCAAATACGGTGCCTCGAAAAACCCCTCAAAAGGGGTGTGAAATGTGCACACCATGATACTACTCATAATAGCCTGGGCCCAAATTTTGAACAATTTTTACTTTTTACCTTTAAAAAATGTTTTTGAATGATGATACATCACTTTACACTGGACAATCAGTATCATGCACGTGGCTAAGTTTAACACTCAACGTTCCCTAAATGGGTTTGATGAACAATTTAATTAAAAACCCCAATTGTAACTTCACGGGTAAAACATGTACAATATTTGTTTAAAATATATAATATAAAGGGTGTTTCAAAAATAATGTCCTGATTTAAAAAAACAATACATTTTTTTATAAAGGAGCAAAATGCTCATTATTGGTTGCCATTAGTTCATAAAGCTTACAAATTTAATTTGTTAAGCTTATTTGTTCCAGCGATTCAACTTTGTTAATTTTTTTGGCTCTGTTCCAAAAAGATCCAGATCGATGAAATAGAGGAACGGTAAACAGGTAAATGCAGACTGGAGAGTAATCTGAATGGAGTCTAGAGAGTTAAGATTGAATAGTCAATGTTTTATGGTCGAGAACGGGGAGTGGAGAGTGGAGAGTGGAGAGTGGAGAGTGGAGAGTGGAGAGTGGAGAGTGGAGAGTGGAGAGTGGAGAGTGGAGAGTGGAGAGTGGAGAGTGGAGAGTGGAGAGTGGAGAGTGGAGAGTGGAGAGTGGAGAGTGGAGAGTGGAGAGTGGAGAGTGGAGAGTGGAGAGTGGAGAGTGGAGAGTGGAGAGTGGAGAGTGGAGAGTGGAGAGTGGAGAGTGGAGAGTGGAGAGTGGAGAGTGGAGAGTGGAGAGTGGAGAGTGGAGAGTGGAGAGTGGAGAGTGGAGAGTGGAGAGTGGAGAGTGGAGAGTGGAGAGTGGAGAGTGGAGAGTGGAGAGTGGAGAGTGGAGAGTGGAGAGTGGAGAGTGGAGAGTGGAGAGTGGAGAGTGGAGAGTGGAGAGTGGAGAGTGGAGAGTGGAGAGTGGAGAGTGGAGAGTGGAGAGTGGAGAGTGGAGAGTGGAGAGTGGAGAGTGGAGAGTGGAGAGTGGAGAGTGGAGAGTGGAGAGTGGAGAGTGGAGAGTGGAGAGTGGAGAGTGGAGAGTGGAGAGTGGAGAGTGGAGAGTGGAGAGTGGAGAGTGGAGAGTGGAGAGTGGAGAGTGGAGAGTGGAGAGTGGAGAGTGGAGAGTGGAGAGTGGAGAGTGGAGAGTGGAGAGTGGAGAGTGGAGAGTGGAGAGTGGAGAGTGGAGAGTGGAGAGTGGAGAGTGGAGAGTGGAGAGTGGAGAGTGGAGAGTGGAGAGTGGAGAGTGGAGAGTGGAGAGTGGAGAGTGGAGAGTGGAGAGTGGAGAGTGGAGAGTGGAGAGTGGAGAGTGGAGAGTGGAGAGTGGAGAGTGGAGAGTGGAGAGTGGAGAGTGGAGAGTGGAGAGTGGAGAGTGGAGAGTGGAGAGTGGAGAGTGGAGAGTGGAGAGTGGAGAGTGGAGAGTGGAGAGTGGAGAGTGGAGAGTGGAGAGTGGAGAGTGGAGAGTGGAGAGTGGAGAGTGGAGAGTGGAGAGTGGAGAGTGGAGAGTGGAGAGTGGAGAGTGGAGAGTGGAGAGTGGAGAGTGGAGAGTGGAGAGTGGAGAGTGGAGAGTGGAGAGTGGAGAGTGGAGAGTGGAGAGTGGAGAGTGGAGAGTGGAGAGTGGAGAGTGGAGAGTGGAGAGTGGAGAGTGGAGAGTGGAGAGTGGAGAGTGGAGAGTGGAGAGTGGAGAGTGGAGAGTGGAGAGTGGAGAGTGGAGAGTGGAGAGTGGAGAGTGGAGAGTGGAGAGTGGAGAGTGGAGAGTCGAGAGTCGAGAGTCGAGAGTCGAGAGTCGAGAGTCGAGAGTCGAGAGTCGAGAGTCGAGAGTCGAGAGTCGAGAGTCGAGAGTCGAGAGTCGAGAGTCGAGAGTCGAGAGTCGAGAGTCGAGAGTGGAGAGTGGAGAGTGGAGAGTGGAGAGTGGAGAGTGGAGAGTGGAGAGTGGAGAGTGGAGAGTGGAGAGTGGAGAGTGGAGAGTGGAGAGTGGAGAGTGGAGAGTGGAGAGTGGAGAGTGGAGAGTGGAGAGTGGAGAGTGGAGAGTGGAGAGTGGAGAGTGGAGAGTGGAGAGTGGAGAGTGGAGAGTGGAGAGTGGAGAGTGGAGAGTCGAGAGTCGAGAGTCGAGAGTCGAGAGTCGAGAGTCGAGAGTCGAGAGTCGAGAGTCGAGAGTCGAGAGTCGAGAGTCGAGAGTCGAGAGTCGAGAGTCGAGAGTCGAGAGTCGAGAGTCGAGAGTCGAGAGTCGAGAGTCGAGAGTCGAGAGTCGAGAGTCGAGAGTCGAGAGTCGAGAGTCGAGAGTCGAGAGTCGAGAGTCGAGAGTCGAGAGTCGAGAGTCGAGAGTCGAGAGTCGAGAGTATTTCGAAAGGCTTATTTTTATGGAAAAAGTCTTAAAAGTCGATGTTGGAGGTGAAAATTGAGATTTAACAACTACATGTTGGTGAACGACCTCTGTTGGTGAAATTCTTAACTTTCTTTTAATATTTTGAAATTGAAATTTGATTTCATTGGTGACGACTTATGGCTATGCTTTGTCAGAGCGAAAGTTTTTAAAATAAAAGTGAAAGTTTTTAAAATGTGCTTAGGTTATATATAACCAAAAAATTAAACCGACTTTATATTTCCTCATACGGCTATTATATGTCATGCACGTGATAACAGTTTTTAATTTCGCCGATAACTCGTCATGAAAGTACTTTAATTCGGGTCCCGGCCTATGACATGTCTATATTGTGCAATGTGGTGGTAATTAGGAATTAATTATAATTTAAAAGTATAAAATTCCATGCAAGTTGGGGAGTTTCAACTTTCGCAAAATTTCGATGTTCCACTTTGCACTTCCAGTGCTTAAAATTATTTAGCAGGGCACGCTCGGTTCGGGTTTGTTGGCGGTTATTAACAATTACAATTTATAATATAAATAAGTTAATTACCAACTTAAGTTATACTCAATTGGTATAATGGCATTTATCACTCAATATGAGTCATTCAGTCCTATGTTCAATATTTGAAAGAAGTTGTTATGTACATACTACATAGTACATACATGTAGCTTGCGCTGTAAAAGGAGCATGCACCGTTACCAGTGGCGTAATCTTAATATTTTCAATTTTAGGGAGGGGCGCTGACAGGGGGCCCTTTTTAGCGGAGGGGGGGGGGGGGCACCAACAGCCAACGTTACGCCACAGACCGTTACGATTTACGTGTCGTAAATTGCAACGAATTCAAAAATGTACGCGTCACCCCAGATTGAACGGTGCTCAGCCTGTCACTTCATTTTATTTGTTATATTTGATCGTGTTTTAAACACTAGGCCTGGAGAACAGGAAGAGGAAGAGGAAGGGGAGCAAAAAACAGAAACAGGAATTACAGGAATTACAGGAATTACAGGAATTACAGGAATAAGAACAGGACAAATGTTATTTTCTTACTCCATTTCTTACAAATAAACGGATTCCTTGATCATGGTGCTCAACCACGACCACGTTGGAAAATAAGTCATTACTGATAACCATATTATTCTAATCTTTAACGTCAATACTCGTTACGGTTGGCACTGAACAAGTAATACAATCAGCCCCCAATCACAATACCGCAATATTTAACACTTTAAATTTGCTTCATATTCATCGTACATAGGAGAAGACTCCATGGTAAATGGGTAAATGGCAAAGATTAGATTTTATGGCAACATTGTGATTAAAGTTGATTTTATCATCAGTGAATCACACGATGGCGACTTAAGGGCCTCCTCGAATTACTGTGTTCCTTGATAGTGTAAACCACCTCTTTGACCACCTGCTCATTTCAGTCAGGTTTTTTGTTCCGTTCAATCGTTAAGACTGTAGTCCACGTACAAGATCGCGGATACCAAACATTACACCATGACAGTGATCGAGAACAAGTTGAACAGTGAGGAACTTGAGGAAAAACCAAGCAATGTAGAGCCAAAGAGAACGTGAGTACATTGTTTCTAATCTTATTGGTTATTATAATTGTTACAGTGTTAGTACCCTTCTCGTGCGTGGGAGAGGTCAATGAGGGTCATCGACTCATCGTGGAAAGTTGAGTGGTAATGTTGGGGAAACTAAAAATTGTGAAACTAAAAATAATTTTTTCATTATTATAAAGTTATAACCATAAGAAATTATAACATCTGAGTCGGTTAATACAAGTCTAAAACCTAAATTAAATTCTGGAAACTTTCCTCGCAGATATATTAAAATGCTGACCTCGAAAATAGCCGATACTCCCTCCAACGTATAATACTATACACTCTGATATAAACCCGTACACATGTGCTAGTGGTAGGTAGGACACTATTATCTGTAAAGGTTACTTTCAGTATTTCTGTAACGGATGAGAATGCAATTTACGAGGAATTGATAATAATTATACTATATTATCATCTTCGCCATGGTAAGCCTTTACAGCGATGTTTTGAAAGAATGCCGCAATAAAAAACCGCATCATATAAAGGGGGTCTGTCTTGTACTTATGTATAGGCGTGTTGTATTCATTGTCTATAGCATAGAATATTTTATTTGTATTTATTACAATATTTTTTGAATATTCTTTTAACTCAAGGAGGCATTTGAATCTTTGTTTTTGTGCTTACATTGTTTATATGAGATGTCCTTTTATGATTACGAACATGCCTTTTATGCTTACAATAGTTTAAGTTAGCGCTAATGTCGCTAACTGCCGCTTTTAAGCTCAGCACCAGCTAACGTCATATTATAGCGATTAGCGATAAATATCGAATTTTGACTATCGGTAAAGACTATTGTAAAGAACCAAAGAATTTAGGATGTTAAACGTTGATATTATTAATAATAGTATTTCGTGTCAGAGGTAATTCATGTAAGACGTAGGTCCCGGTGCGGTAATATTTTGTAAATAGTTCGATTCCGCACTTGCCCAAAAGTTTTTTATGTGCAGCAAATTTGGAGACACAAACCCGCAATTAAACTGGACAATTCGCTACATTTGCAGCCTTTAAGTACTCCCAAGTTGAATTATTCAACAGCGTAGAATATAAAACTTCCTTATATAACGATTATTGCGTTTAACACGACAATTAACTTACACCATCCTTTTTGCGTAATGTCTTACGCTGAGTTTCCTGACAATTCAAAATGTCTATAAACCTAGAATTATCTCAGAAGGATTTGCAATTACTATTAGATGGGCAAGATGGCTGAGGCTATAGTTGAGCTGGTGATGAGCATAATTGAAGTAGAGTATTCAATATTACAACTTTATAAGTATGAAGCTATAACAACATAATTGTTCATGAAGTCTTAAGATTCCAACAAAATGCGTGTATAGGTAAGCGATCGATTAACTTGACCCAATTTCAATATATTGAAGTTTTGCGATCCAGCTTGGCAAGTTATTCATTTGACAAGTTATTCACCCTTATTTGTTCTTTAAAAAATAAAACGTATGGGAATATTTTAAGGAAGAAAAATGGTTGTATTTATGTTTTGGCAGGGAGAACTGTTGTTCACTATAAACTAACCTGTTATTCCTAATAGGCATGTTTGTTTTATACCTACTCAGCAAAGTCAGCTACAATATCAGCTACAACATCAGACTGGTCTCCGTTAGGGTGTTATACAAGAACTAATTGTTTATATTTATTAATTGTTTATATTTATATTTATCATTTGAATAAACTGTATTCGATTAAAGTGTTTCACGGTCAATCTAATAGGAGCAAATTAAACATTGGTAGCAGGAACATTGGTAACGTCACACACCATCATTTTCATTGTCACGTAACCCTCTCCCACAGGTATGGTCAAGCAGATAAAAGCTCCTAAGTGGAATGGAGACTATGACAGATATAAAAAGATGTTGATTATATGGCTCCGAACAATCGAAGAGACCAATACGGATAGTGACATAGTATCTGCAGTAATTCTGGGATTGGATAAAGCAACTGGAGATAACAATCAGGCTTGTGATTTAATACTAGACATGGATGAAGATAGACTCTATCCTAATTTGGATATAATGGCAGGAGTTGGAGAAGAAGTTACTGGTGCAGATAGAGATGCAGCCATTAAGAAATATTTTGATGATCAGATGAAAGAGTTTCCTGAGAAGAAAGTTACTGTGGGTAACAAGGAAAGAATAATTCCTGGATTAAACATAATTCTAACAGCTCTGCATGAGAAATTTGGTCTAAAAAGGGAAGAAGAGACTATGAGGAATACGCCAATCTTTGTAGGGACAAGAGTAAAGAGTCTATGAAGGATTATATAATCAAAGCAGAGACACTTACAAGAAAGCTGGCTAAGCACAAAATTATGATTCCTGACATGGTGTTGGCTTATAACCTATTAAAAGGAGCTAATCTTGGAAAAGAAGAAAAGTTGGCTAGAACATCAGTAGACAGTATGACATTTGAAAGCATGAAAAAGACTTTGATAAAAATGTCTGATGGTATCATGGAGATTGGATCTAGTGAATCCAAAATTACTCCTAAAATCAAAGTTAAAGAAGAACCTATCATGTATCAAGAAGAAACTCAGGAATATTATGAAGATGAGTACTATGATAGTGATTGGGACGAACCCCAAGATGATGAGGATAAAACTGTCTACTACCAAAACCAAGGATACAACAGATATCGTCCCCGTGGAAATAGCTTTCGATCTCGTGGAGGTTATAGAGGAAGATCCCATGAACAAATTAAGCATTTGAATGAACAATTTGAATCAAGAAGAGGAAGATATGACTCAAGATTTAATCCAAGAAATCAACAACAAAGCAGTAAAAGTCAAACAAACAATACATCACAAAGCCAGAACGAGAGCGTCCGTAGACTGAATAAGTATGGATCAGTTTGTGCGATATGCAAATCAATATATCATTGGGCTTCAGAATGTCCAGACAAGAACAAACAGCCAGCTCCTATTCTGAAACTGGATCATGAGTTGGTAATAGATGATGAACATCTGATTTACAATGCATTTTCAGACACGAAAAACTTGGGTATAGGTAATAGACTCCGGCGTCGCGAAGACAGTGTGCGGTAAGAAATGGTACGAAGTATATGAAAACAGCCTAAAAGAAAAAGAAAAAGAACTTATTGAAGAGGAAGATAGTAAGTGTACATTTAGATTTGGTGATGGGGCTGTAGTGAAATCTGATATTGCCAAACTGTTTCCTACCAGGATATGTGGAAAAGAAGTATATATCAGGGCAAATATTGTAGAAAATGATGTGCCTTTACTGATTTCCAAAGTGACACTGAAAAATGCTAAAGCAAGTTTGAATTTTGATTCTGATCAACTTGTGATGGATGGTAACGCTCAAGATCTGATAACTCTAGTTATGAAACTGAATGAGTGAGTGAAATATGAAAATATTACAGCAATGAATAACCATAAATGTGATGAGTGAATTATGAAATCTATCAAAATCTAGCAAACATTTAAAATCTTAGAATGAGTGAAAATGTGACAGTGTATGAATGACAGTGAATGTGAAATGCTGTGTGAAATGAAATGCAGTGTAAAATGTGAGGGGTAAAAACACGATATAATGGCAGTGAATACACATATTATATAGTAAAAACTCTTGCCGTTTAGGGAGAATCCCGTGATCAGTGGCGAAACAAACATATTCATAGTGTATATTATGTACTGACTAACTTTCCTATATAAGCACATCCTATTAGTAAACTCTACAATACTGATCACAAAACATAGGAACACTGACACTAGACAAAAACAGTAACAAAAACTGAAGTGAATTACATTACTCATATTAAGGGAATATTAGACAATAATTTTAACTCATCTCAATTGTACTTTTACGACAAATGAGCAAAAAACAGGCCTAAATCGATTCATATTATATGGGGTAAAGGGTGATATATATCATGAAATTATCAATAAATGGGGAGTCAAAATACTACAAAAAGAGTGTAAATCATCAAATCTATTTTTAGCTACAGAAACTAGCTAAAGTGCAGCGTTAATCCTAGCGGACACCCGCTCGAAACACACGAAAGGATTCAAACGCTCTGCGTGCGAAGCCTATAGATTTGTTGACTTACTGAGGGGAATACAAAATACAAATTAAATAAAAGTTTTCTTCTTGGTTCTTCTTATTTTCTCAGCGAAGATCTTCTCAGGGGCCTTAGTTTTAGGCCATATTCCCCTGGGCATGGGCCGTGTCTTAAACTTGATTTTTTTAATTTGAGGCATGCTTCTTTTCTTCTTCAATCAAGTCATGAATATTTATAAACCCGTTTTCTATCACATCACACAATTTTTCACTGGATGCTCCTGTTTTAGTTAAACAGTCACTTATCATGTGAGCAGTTTTAACCCAGTGAACTGAAATCTTCTTCTTTTATCTTGCACTAATTGCTTAATTTCAGCTATATTGATTCTAAGCAATTTTTCAGTTACCAGATGTGATGAATTTATTGCTTTCTTTAGTTGTGAACTATCAACAAACATCTTGATAGGTATTTTCTCTGCTCTGGGGTCTTTGTATAGAATTTCTTCTATAAGATTCCTAACATAAGTACAATCTCCCAAACAATCCACAAAGCTCAAGCATTCTGCTGCTACTGTACTGTGAACAACTCTGTTAATTTTCTTGCTTTTCCAATTGACTAAACAAGAATTCCCTGTAGTATCAGAGATAAAGATTACATATCCTTCTCCACTGTTTATTTTCTCTGGCAGTATATTAGCCAGTGAGGCATCTGAAAATGCCACAATCTGTAAACAGTTTTCGTCCAATTGTGGGAGCCAAATATATTCTAGTCCTGTTTTGATTTTTGTGATTATCTTGTTCATTCTCTTCAAATCACCAATAGTTGGACTTTGACCCAATAAAGAAAAGTTGAAGGCATCAAAAGATAAGTCAGGGCGTGACTGATGCGCAATCCAGTTCACTTTGCCTAACAACTTTTGATATACTTTCTTC